AGAAACATTTTGTAACATTATAAATGTCTTTACTGTCACTTTTGATCTTTAATGTGTCCTTGCTATATAAAAGTATTAATTTCTCAAAAAAACAAAAATGTATTGGCCCCAAACCTTTGAACGGTAGTTTGCATAATCTTTAAATAAGTTTGTATCTATAAATACTTAATCTATAAATAAATAATTATATGTTATACAAATTAAAACAATTAATGTGATAATTTATAATTCCTTTATAAAAAAAATCACAATTATTTAAAATATATAAATATTTGAATGCAGAATATTGTTTGACCAGTCAGTATCAATTAATTCTCAGAGCTGTGTAATAGGAATAAGTATTTTATCATTTATTTGACTTAAAAATTGTTGTTCAGAGTTTAATTTTATAGATTACTGAAGCTCAGAAAGAGGAGGGTGAGAGACATTTTCTAGTTTTGACATCTAGGAATCTAGATGTGAGAGACATTTTAGTCTTGAGGACAATTAGCATATTCACAAGTATGTTCAGCTACAACTGGTGTGTGTGTGTGTGTGTGCATGTGCTAAACACAATGGGCATTGATGTGCACAAACCTAAATATTTATGCTAAACCATTTTTTTCTCTGAAATATACATTCACACACCTGCAAACATACAGACTGACAGGTCACTCAAAGCCACACAATTACCTCTAAACCCACACACACAAACGCACACTGTTGTGACAGTTATGATTTATGAGCACTGGGGTTTTGATGGTAAACAAATAAATGAAATCTGAATGCACAGGTGGTCAAAGGTCACGAGTCACGGTCAATGACAATGTCACTATGATCATCTGTGTCAGGATCATAACCCTAACATACTTGACCAATTGCTGCAAAGCATCACACCCTCTCCAGACCGCAAACTGGGGCATGTTATCAGAACTTCATGAGTAATCACATTTATACAAAACCCTTATCAGTTTCAGGTTATCCAATTTCCTCCTCAAATTCAGAGAAGATATAGACAGACCCATAACCAGCCCAAACCCAACGATGCATTCCACATAGTGGCTTGAGCGTGAATATATTCAGAACTATAATCCAGGATGCAGAATTTAGGGTGTAATTGTACTGTAGTTTTGGGTTCAGATCTGTTCATCAATCTACCTATTGGCCAGGGAAGGTTGAAGTTGTTGTGTATTTGGCCATATGCCATAACTACACACTATTCTGGAGACTTCCTCTGATAATCTATTATCAAGTCCCACACTTAGATACACATGAATACAAAGCCCCTAAGCTCTGAGATGTCATTTCCTATAAATACATGCACCATCATCTCTCAATTTCTTTTAGCAAGCTGGAAGTGAATTTGTGTATAAGTATATGCTTCCATCATTGTCGCAACTGTTATCAGTCTGAGAGAAATAGCTTGAAAAGAGGAAAGGGTGGGATGACTAGTACACTGTAATATCCTCAAAAGGAAAATAAGACTAATGAGAAAAAGAGCAAAGGAAGAGAGGAGAATGAGCTTTGTGTCAGAGGTCACAGTACAATCAAGACTTTCTATAACTGATCTCTTTCCTCTTCATGGGGTCAAAGGTCAAGCCCCAGCAGGGATTTGTGGTTACCTCACATTTCATATGTCTAGCAGGTGGTTCACACACGCTCTTTGATGAAGCAACTTGTCACTTTTCTAGTATTTTCATTTTAGTTTTCTCTCTTCTCTTTCTCTGGTCTGAAATCATCCAACCTTTAAAGGGATAGTTCACCCAAAAATGAAAATTGCTTCAGGAGGCCTTTATTAACCCCCCGGAGCCATGTCGAACACTTTTTTTTATGATGGATGGACACACTTTATTGGACTTCTATTGGACTACTGAATATCAACACCCATTCACTGCCATTATAAAGCTTGGAAGAGCTAGGACATTTTTTTATATGACTCTGATTGTATTCGTCTGAAAGAGGAAAGTCATATACACCTAGGATGGCTTGAGGGTGAGTAAATCATGGGGTAATTTTCATTTTTGGGTGAACTATCCCTTTAAGTAAGTTAAAAGATAAGAAGGTATTTGAGAGAAGCAACATTGTTCATCAGTTTATCATCACATTTATCAGTTTATCTTCATGTTTATCAAAAACATTTTGCATTAATTTTGCTTTAGCTTTAGTGATTTAAATGGTAACATATAATTGATTTACTCCATTTAACTTTATAATTGTCCAAACTGTGAAAAGCTCTGTACAAAAGGATCACTGAATAATTTATCTGCTGTCTCCCATTAGATGTCAATAAAATAATAGTTTTTTGGGGACAAAAAAGCTATACTGTGTAGAAAGTATAAATGATAAAAAAAAATTGCTTGCATACAGAATCATTATTAATGTACGCTACTAAAACATGGAGATGAGGCTAAGAAAGATTTGGAGGAGCTCAACCCATAGAAACACACACACACCATCTCAAAGTTGTTCTCTCAGCCCACCAACATACTGGCTGTCAGTTTAAATCATTGCCTGAATCCTTCTGTATATTTAGACGTGAGCTGCTGTGTTTGGACATGGAATGACTGAGTACTCTTTGCAGACTTTAACTACAAAATGTCCTAGACAATAAACTAAAAGTCTGTTAAAACAGGTTCTAGTACTCCAGACAGTTTGCGCTTGGCAAACAGTCATACTGTGTCTGAAATCTTTCCCTATATAATACACATTCTTTCTCTCTCTCCTTTTCCCTGGTCATTTCTAATCACCCGTTGCTATGACAGTAACAGCTTTGGAAGTGGTATGCTGACATCATGCACCAATGACGTCTGCATTTTTCTCCGTTTGATTGTCCTGATCAAAAGATCCTGCAGCGTCTAAACGCTCTGAGTATCAGGACCTCTTTTGACCCCCCTGGCAGAAAAACGTGTTTTGAAAAAGACTCTTTTTGAAACTACCTCCCCAATGCAACCCTTGAGTTAATTACTGAATCCTTCTGTATATTTAGACGTGAGCTGCTGTGTTTGGACATGGAATGACTGAGTACTCTTTGCAGACTTTAACTACAAAATGTCCTAGACAATAAACTAAAAGTCTGTTAAAACAGGTTCTAGTACTCCAGACAGTTTGCGCTTGGCAAACAGTCATACTGTGTCTGAAATCTTTCCCTATATAATACACATTCTTTCTCTCTCTCCTTTTCCCTGGTCATTTCTAATCACCCGTTGCTATGACAGTAACAGCTTTGGAAGTGGTATGCTGACATCATGCACCAATGACGTCTGCATTTTTCTCCATTTGATTGTCCTGATCAAAAGATCCTGCAGCGTCTAAACGCTCTGAGTGTCAGGACCTCTTTTGACCCCCCTGGCAGAAAAACGTGTTTTGAAAAAGACTCTTTTTGAAACTACCTCCCCAATGCAACCCTTGAGTTAATTCAAATCAGCAAGCCGCAACAATAGCACCAATTGGCAGATCAAGGGAGAGATGGAATGTGTCCTTAGGTTATATGTTCTGGAGTCAAAATAATCAGAATAGAGTCTTGCAAAACATCCAATCACAAACATTTATAAGCAGACCGAATGTGTGCACAGACCAACGACAAATGAAACTGTGGTTACTGCAAGAAAGGTAAAATACTTTTTATTTCATTTTTATGGTGAAAATGTCTAAAATACTAGAGAGACGTACTCAGTGTAAATATATTGAAACAATATTTATTGTAATTTCTATGTCACAATGCTTTAAACAATTAGGCACTGCATTTTACTTGAACATATTTTGAGGTACAGTGAAACAGTGATTTTATGTTTTTAGTAAATATGTTTAAATAATAACAAATCTTAAAGATTTTAATAAAAAAATGAGCTTTGTTTTCTGTGAAATGTTTAAGAAGAATAATTTCAAATCAGCTTAAAATGGATTGTCTTTGTCAGTTTGGTATACCAGTTTATCTATGTGATCCATCATCAAGACCAGTTTGAACCAGGCAATGGCCTTAAATGACCAGCATGGTCCTGCTAGAAACCATGTAAAACCAGCTACAATGCAGGGTAACATATGTGATTTCATGCTAATATCTAGGCTAACTATGTTATGGTTTATATAAGAATATGGTGATTTGAATGATCACAACCCATCCAGTCTTTCTTATGCATTTAAGTAGCTTTAAACAGCATTAAGCCAGTATGATTTATGAATGGATATAAACTATTTCCAGTATAGGCTACATAATAATTCAAAGTCAGTGTTTTGTGTTCCTCCCAGTGGTGTTCCTCTACACATGAAATCCTTTTGATTAACTTGTTTGGAAAACTGCCATTGATAGTGTATGAATTATTTAATAGCTTTCAGGATCGAGTCCTGTCAGTATTTTTAAGGTGCAGTATAATCATTTGAGTTTTGTCTCGTGCCGCCGAATGGAAAGCGCTCGCGCTGCCTTCTGTCGCTATGGTTACCTCCTCAAGCGAACGCGACTGTTCGCGGGAGTCATTTTGGTGCTTTAATTAACTTTACTTAAATGTTGTTTGGAAATGCTTTTGAAGTAGGCTATAACTTATATGTAAAAATATAAATATTTCCGAGAACCAGTCACTCGCACCCTTGATACTGATACTACGAAGCGCAATGACAGGAACTGAACGCGAGTGACAGGCGAGTACCGGGGAGCCGTTTAGCTCGCGAGGCGCTGAGAAGGCGGGCAGGGTGTTTCTCAGGACTGAGCGAACGGACTACAGGAGAGAGCGAGGGAACGACAAACATATAGACAGAGAGAGAGCGAGGGAGAGACAGAAAGACAGAGAGAGAGAGAGAGAGAGAGAGAGAGAGACGTGCGCACTTGAGCTGGAGCAGTGTGGGAAAATAGCGCACAGGGGCACAGGCGAGCGACTCGAGCTTAACCTGAGACCTGGGATCTCACCACTCGGGTCCAGCTGTGGATGTCCAACATCTTTTGCGCCTGGAGTTCGTTCAAACTTATATGAGGGGACTCAGCCCTGAGAGAAGTATTTATTCCCGTTAGTGTAAAAGTCCAGCTGTGGATGTCCAACATCTTTTGCGCCTGGAGTTCGTTCAAACTTATATGAGGGGACTCAGCCCTGAGAGAAGTATTTATTCCCGTTAGTGTAATAAAGGTTAATTGAAAGTGGTCCATTCAACATGGAATTACCGGTTCTGGTTTTAGTGGCGGTGGTCCTATCGTTCGGCACCAGCACTAAACTGAACGTGCCGCGCCTTCGACTGTCATACAAAGGTAAATTACATCACATTTATCTGAATGAGTTTAACTTTTAATGATTCTTTTTTTTTTCATTTTTAAAATGGAACACAAAAGCCAAAGATCTAATGAACAGATGTAAAAGGACCTGATTCAGCTTGATCCCGCTACTGTGAGGAGAGAACACGGTCCAGTGCTTTAAGTAGATTAATGCTTATTTATTTTCACTGTTTGAGTGTTAAGGTTAATGCTGCCATCCCTCGGTTCATCGTGTGTGTGAATTAGTCTACACCATTTACAGGTGCATGTGGTGACAAAATGCAAAGGCACCTTTATTGGTGATCAGTTAGAAAATGTTAATTGCTAACAGAAGCTGGACTCAAATATAACAGCTACAGGATAGTACAAATCGCAGACATTTACAGAACGTACATATGAACTGTTATGTACTATGGAGAAAAGTACAGGTAATATGAATAAATAGACATTTGAATTGCGCATATTATATTGCACAGTGACATTGATTAAAGGTAATAATGCACTGCACTGTTTGTTAATTTATTTTTTCACAATGTCTACTTGTATATGTAAACTCGATTTTCTTCTTCAGTATGAAGTGGTCGACAAAAGTGCAGTGAATGAAGTGTATTTTTACAGTGTATGAAGAAGAGACCAATTTTCGCATATTGCTTTCCACACATCCTGCGCTTTGCATATTGAGCAAAGCTTTGCGCAAAGTCCCTCGGTGACCTTATCAGATTGAAATCTGAGCGCCCGGTTCAACACGACAGTGTCGTTTCCGTCATTGCATGGCAGGAAGTTTCTCTGGAGATGTTGTGGCGGGTCTTTTTTTAAACTGTGGGAAAAAGCTACGTCAGGACTCCAGGCTACCGTTTCAGCTGTTATCCAAAATCCCGGGATCCTCATGCCTCGAGCTCGCCCTGGCGCGCGCTCACCTCCCCGCGGTGCGCGATAAAGTTATTGCTCTTTATCGCACCATGCCTGTTTATTACCGGATTTATAGAGTGCAAGGAGAATGTTGCAGTGGCCTGAAGGAGTTTGAGATGTTTTACTTGTTGTAATACGCTACTACTTTGATATTAAAGAAAAAGTTCATCCAAAAATGAAACAACTGTCTTCATTAACTCACCCTCATGTAGGCTAGTTCCAAGCCCGCGTCTCACGCTTGAGGTATTCGGCCAATCACAACGCACTGGATAGCTGGCCAATCACAGCACACCTCGCTTTTTCAGACCGATGAGTTTTGTAAAAATCGACATGTTTCAAAAAGGCGGGGCATATATGTACAGTATGTGGAAAATAATGTGTTTTTTTTTTACTTTAAACCGCATAAACACATTTCGTTACACCAAATACACAAAATAATGTTCTTTTTAGCAACATCATATGACCCCTTTAATGAAATGCTAAGCTGCGATTTCATTTACCGTTGTTCAGCCAATCATTTCAATAGCAATCCGTTTTTGAATTTGTGTGAGTGCGAAAAATTTCCCCACGCAGATTTCGGTCACGTGGATTCACTGCGTTGACCAACAGAAAGCTGCTTGGTTTGAAAGTGACTTGTGTGTTGCTGTAGGCAACCTGTGCTTCATACATCGCTACAATATTGACAATAGACAAGACACCTTTTTTGCTTCAAAATTTAGCTGGTATTATAGCACCTTTAGAATGACAGTTTCAATGACCATTCAGTTTAATTTTATGGAAAAAAGGATCCAATGAAAGTGAATGATGACTGAGGCTATCAGTCCTTAAAAATGGGTTAAAGGTGGAGTTGGAGGTCTTGGAAAATGCTATCTTTAGCCTGATAGCACTGAAAGCAAACGTCCCACCCTCTCTGCAATCGCCGTCCAAAGCCACGCCCCCGGAACGCAAATACGCTCGCTCACAGACCAGAATACCAGAGACAACATTACAATAGGCTACATCAGCGGTTCCCAATTCCAGCCCATGTTCCGAAATGAAGTAAACTTCTACGGATTTCCCCTGCTCAGGGAGTAGGGAGCAATGAACACTGTGTAGGGATCATACCTAACAAAAAATATTTCTGAAGACAATCACCTATTGCACCTTTAAGTTTTAATTCTTAATATTACATAAGGAATGTTGCAACAGTCTCTGCCAGACTATAGCGACTGAATTAGACATGCTCTCTCTTACCAAAATCCCACCCTACAAATGTACAGTTGTGCCACTGAGAATATTGTAATCAGAGATGAAGCAGGAGAGCAACGGCATGTAGCAAAATACAATTCTTGCACCACAAACTGACAGCTGCTTTTAACAACTGCTATGAAGCTGAATATGGCATTTAGCTTGAACAATCCTCTTCTCAGATGCTCTCTACTTCCTGCATCCCATATATGGGCTGCTCTGTGAATGTGCAAAAGCATTGACCTGCCGAAAGTGCTTCAAAGTCATTTGCTTGGCAAAACAAAGTATCTGTGTGACTTTTCCCCCCCGGTTTACAGATATTTCAGGACCTAATTCAGTCAAATCTGTCCAAAAGGGGGTTTTCACAGTGATGCCAGAGAAAAAAGTTCTGGTTCCCCAAAGAACAGTTCTTAAGAGAACCATTTATTCTTTGTGTAAAGAACATTTCTACAATATTCTATTCCTTTTGTTCTATTCCAAGTGGAGTACAGAGAATATATGGAGTGTGAATGGGGAACAAATAGGTGGATAAAACCGAGACTTATTGAGGAAATGAATTTCAGGCTGAAAGTTTTGCACAAATACATATACAGTTCATACAGGTACAGTATAGGTACAGTACATACAAACAGGAGACAAGAATACTTTGTTTGTACCATGCAAAATGGATGCAGGTGGAATTTTAATGAAAACACAAATTCCCTCCATCCTTGTGGCGTCAGTCAAGAGTTTACAGTGTAACGTAGCAGAACAATGCAGCATTGTGGCGGTTTACTCCTGGGTTGAGGGGAGTTTGCAGGTTACTGCAATTAGGTCACAAGCCCTGGACGTGATCAGACGCACTGATAACGACCACAACAGCTGCTGGTCACTTAAACTATCATTTGATTTTTTTAACCCCTGAGCTGATGACTGTCCTGGGAGCTGGGAACTTGGGAACACATGCACACACTTAATTGCAGCTGTAATGGTCTCTAGTACACTGCACAAATACAGCTGCCCTCTATACACACACGCTAACATATGGAAACATGGCTGCTAAAAGGGATCAGGGTAATAAAGGAGAAAGGAGAGGTGTCAGAGAAAGCAAAGAATGAATGGAGGAATGGTGTGGACAGAATGAATTTCACCCACTGACATATAAATTATTTGTGTGAGAAAGAAACTTTCTTTATTTCTTTATTTCTTGTTAAATGTGTAAACAAGTCTGTGTGTAGCCATAACAAGGCATTTTGTCTAGCTGCTGGAGTCTGATTGTGTGTGCGTGTGTGTACAGAGGGGAAGGCACTGACTCTCATGGCTGCTGTCCAGAGGGGTTTATCTAAACCCTCACGTTCTGATACTTGCTTTGGGGAGAGAGGGGATCAGGAGAGGCCAGGGAGCAAGAAGCAGAAGACAGAGGGACTGAAAGAATGAGACTGACAAAAAGGAAGGCTGAGAAAATAAGCTAGAAAAAGTAGGTTTGAGGGGCTTTTATGAGTTTACCAGTAAGAGCTGGTGTAGCCGGATTTGCCCTGAAGTAACGTGAGTGTGTGTGACAAATGAAGACAGACAGGCAGAGACAGAGTGAGAGAATTAGAGGAAACAGAGCAGATACCATGATACTAGAGAATTAGTTATGTGAACATGTACATGCTATCAGTGAAATGTTTGGACTCATGTACTCATTCTTTATTATTACTATTCCCCACGTTTTTGAATAATAGTGAAATCATCAAAACTAGTATTCACATAAATGGAAGTCTGGGGATTGAAAAGAGGGATTACATTTAATCAAAACTCGCCATCTTTTGTCTAGATTCCAGATCTGCACACTCCTACTTCATGAGGTGCATCTTGGGATGCTGTAGAGATCTTATTTATGCTGGGTACTTTTGCTTTTTTGTCCCTTCGCTGTATGGTATAACTTATCTAAAAAAAAAAGAGAAAGAAAGAAAAGTATATACATTACTATTTTATATTTTTAATATTAATATTTTAATATATATTTTGTATACTTTCATTGTTTAGATATAGATATCATCTGTCCACAAAATTAATTGTCTTTATATATACAAAATATTACAGAAATATAGAAATAAAAATAACCAGCATATAAGCCTAAGCATTTAAATTCAGTCAGTTGTGTCCAAACTTTCACTGTTAGTGTACACTACTGTTCAAAAGTTTGGGGTCAGTAAGATTTATTATTATTATTTTTTTCAAAAGAAATTACTTTTATTCATTAAGGATGCCTTAAATTAATCTAAAGTGACAGTAAAGACATTAGTAATGTTACAAAATATTTCTACATTCAAAATATTGTTACATTCTATTGAATGTTCTATTTATCATGAATCCTGATTTCTTTCTATTCATAATGAATCTTGGAAAAAATGATCACAGTTTCCACAAAAAATATTAAGCAGCACAACCGTTTTGAACAGCGATAATATGAAATGTTTCTTGAGAGCTAAATCTGCATATTAGAATGATTTCTGAAGGATCTTGTGACACTGAAAACTCGAGTAATGGCTGCTGAAAATCCAGCTTTGCATTCAATGGAATAAATTACATTTTAAACTGTAGAAAACAGTTAATTTAAATTGTAATATTATATAAATGCAGCCTTGGTGAGTATAAGATTTCCCCCAAATTTTTTTTTTAAAATATTTACAAAAATGTACCGACTCCAAACATTTGAACAGTAGTATATTGTTAAACAGAGTGGTGTAGGAGTGTTTTTTGTATGTTAATGAAGGTATTCAATACATTTTAGATGTCTTGAATTGTTTAAGTCTTAACCTGCTGTGAAATGTTGATGTAGTCTAATTAAATTTGTTATTTGAGAAGGGCAGTTTCTGACATTTGTGTGTGTGTGTGTGTGTGTGTGTTTGTGCGCACTTCTTAACGTTGTGTATTTTCAGTGCCTAGGGAAGACACCATGAGATCTTCCTGTTGACGTTTAACTCTGTGAACGGTCTCCCCTGCTGCTCTCTGCACCAGCCAGTAATCAATTAGTTCCACCACGCAACTGCTGACAGAATCAGCCCGAAGCCTCCAAAAGATCAACCTGATACTGAAATCACACACACACAGATGCATGATAAAGTTCATGCAAGTTATATATTAATATATCTGTCTACACCAGAGCGGAGAACATGATCAACTTCCTATGTGGACATGTTTCCTCCTGAGGGTTATGTATTCATATATTACATATTCATACTTCCTTTCTTACTTTCTTTCTTTTTATCTCTCTCTTTCTCTGTCTCTTAATCGCATACAGACACACAACCCTTTAGACAAAAAATGGGAATAAATGCAATCCTTAAGGCAAACAGCCCAGTCGGCTCAAACGCAAGACCTCTCCCTTCTTCCATTTATAATCACTTCATTACCAGTAAGTGAAAATCTAAAAGGTAGGCCAGATGCCAACAAGCATGTGTGTGTTATTAACGGTTGTTTAGAAAGTTGGTGGGTTGCAACTGTGTAGAAAGCCTTCTGATGTAAGAAAGCGAGTTTAGGAGAAAGAGAGGAAGGGTATACATTTTCTGTGCTGTATCTACAGCATAATGCCACTGCAATTCCGCCTCACTCTGTAAATTCTGGTTTTCATTTATTTAGTCTTTCTCATCTCTTCATTGTCCTCTTTTTCTCATTGATCTCACACATGACAGATGTGATTTAGAAGCTAATTGATTTAAATATCATAGGGTTTGTAGGAAACATGCATCAGATGAGCAGACCTGTATTTTTTATCAGGAGTGTCTCTGTGTTATATAACAAAGGAAGCCTATACTACCTGGAGTTAGGATTCCCATTCATCTTACTGAGAGATGAAGTTACGCCATCTTATAACTGTCCTGTGCTAACCAGGCAAACCCTAAGCACTTGCTTGTAACTAGGTAATTTATTCTGACACTACATTTTTTATTATTTTCCAAAGTGTTACTCATCTACTGGCACACATACAGCCTCTTACTGTCGCACTGTAGGTGTGTGTTTGTGTTATAGAGAGCGTGCTTGCCAACTCAGACCTCTGTGTAGTCTCAGGTTGTCATTTTATTACGTTTAATGTCATTAAACTGGTGATTGTGAACTGTTATTTTAAGTGAGCAGATTAATTACATAGTGGGATGAAGCGAGCGCCACTGATAACTTTGGGGGAGGGAAAAAGTAACGTGAGTCCATGAGGATATAAGAAAATGATGGCTTACTCGCACAGCACTCTCGTGCAGGGTGTAATTTATTTACAGTGCCAATGAATAAGACAGTCCACAGTAAAGTATATATACAGGCAGAGTCATAATCACCATAGACATTGAGGGGGACAAGTCCCCCCCAATAATTAGAAATGGCCAAACTCTCCCCCTCCAATATTTGAAAAATACTCTGATAGCATTTCTATTGCTACTGTCAACCTGTGACCAAACAAATACAGAGCAAATGACTTGATGAGTCATTTCTTATTAATGAATCAAAAACATACAGTGCAAAACAGGAACAGTTTCTCTAACGAAAGACTTTGTAAATGAAAACCATACAGCATAGTCCAAACAAGTCCTGAACAAATGACTCTTATGAGCTGGCTTAGTGAATCAGTATAGTTACAGACTGAGTGATTGTTCACATGACAACATGTAATTAAAGATTCACATTATGAGTTTGGCAGTAATATTGTTTTCAGTTTTTGATGTTTTCAAAATCAAAATAATCTTATTTGACAATGGAACTGCATTTACTTTTTCTGAAAATTTCTTTCCCAGTTGTAGGCCTACCAAAAAAAATGTGTATGATAATTTTAATAAACCATGAAGGAACTAGAATGATTAGTGGGAATTAAAACTGTAATTATTCCTTATGATTCCCATCTCTTCTAAGACATATTATAAGATTAAAAGGGAAAAGAATGTGAGGTTAAATTTCTTCAAATGTATATGTCTCTGTTTAATTGCCTTCATATGCGTGTGTTTATGGAGGACTCAGGGTTGATTCATGACTTACTGAGATCATCTGCCACCATTGTGCTCTTGAGTAGAGCACTAAACCACAGATTACCTCAGGGGTTCATTGCAATTATTGTTCCTATATGTACCCGCTGGATGAAATGCATCCGATAAATGACAAATAGCAGGGATCTGTGACTGTATATGTATGCTTTTTATGTATGTAAGAAAGAGAGTGTCCACATCAGTATTTCACTGTTTGTGGAGTCTGTGTTCTGGAAAGAAAACCCTTAAAAGTTTTTTTTAATCATTGTGGAACTTGCACGCAAGATCACTCTAATAAAGAAAGAACAAAACTCTTTCTCTTTTGTTCAGCTTGTGAGTTTATTTGAGGTTTATATAAAAAACCTCACACAATGTGAAACCCCAGAACTGTGTTTGAATATATTTTGACCTCTTTGCCAATGATTGTTAAAATTCAAGTCTTTTGTTAAACTCCTTAAATGGCCCGAGAAAGAGTTTTAATGGATTTATATAGAGGAGTGGATTGTGAATGTTGCTGTTGCATGTGTGTGTGTTTTTATAATTGTGGTTTAACATTTGGCTTCGTTGTTTGGCTTCCGTTTGTGCTCTTTTCATCGGCGCCCTATTAGCGGCTTTAGACACGTGCCACCCTCTCAACGAGGCCTCATTTCTCCTTCAGCTGCTCTTTCTCCACTCCTCTTTTCTCTCCAACCGCACATTATTATATGAGGGGAATGTGGAGGGAGTGTGGAGCTGTACTTCAGGATACTAGAGAAAGATAACAAGAGAATGTTTGTGGGTGTGTGTTCAGTACTTATCTAGTTTTAAGTGGGCAAAATATGATAAAAACTTGGGGGGCATTCTCATCTGGAAAACTGATTTAAAAAAAAAAAAATTAAATAAAAATTAATTAATAAATGATTAAAAAAATAATTATTTTATTGAATTCTGAAAGTTTTCTTTCAGGGTTTCGGTTAATCTGTAGTAATTATAATTAGCTTTTTATAAAAACTGTAGAAGGCTATGGTATGTCTTCATTTAGATTTAGTTTATAGTTCTTTAATTTCTTTTTAAAAATGTGATTCTAAGAGGGTTCTGTACTCCTCTCTCTCTCACACACACACACACATATATAATCACTGTATCTTGAGCTCACTTTAGGGTCAAAGATCAAAGTCTAATTTCCACTCTTGTTTTTTTTTTGTTTTTTGTCTTGTGTGTGTGTTATATGCCGTCATACCCTTAAGATGCGGTCATATTAGCAAAATGGCACAGGCAAAATAGGTTCATTTTCATTAACTTTCAATAATAAAGCTCGGCTCACACAGAAGTCATTTTCATCTGGCGATTTCATGTGACCAACTTAAACTCAATGCAAAATCTTCATGGGGAAACCTTTCACCCTTGTGCAAAATTTTCAGTTGTGAGAATTCCTATTGAAATGGATTTTGGCCACAAAACTTTGCAGAACAATTGCAAATGTGACCGCACATTTGCAAGGGGAATACACTACCATAACAGTGTGTACCCTAACCAGGTACAACATAAACTACAGTTTCTCTTCAATGTAATTCTGCACAGAATAGCCCCGACAAATGACTGAAGCCTCATTGGTTCAAAATCCTACTCCGCATTATGTATAGTAAACATCAGATATGTTCTGACTGCCTTGTTTGGTGATACAACATTGTTGCTTTCATGCGATGCAACATTCTTGCTTTCACTGTGGACAAATTACTTTGTAGAAATGTATCAGCTAGTTATTACTCGGTGTTTAAAATTGAGACGTTAACAAGTTGAACAGAAAGCAAAATATTGCCACGTTTGGTTAAAATGCCTCTGTTGGAAAAAGGGTCATATTAGCAAAATGGCACAGGCAAAATAGGTTCATTTTCATTAACTTTCAATAATAAAGCTCGGCTCACACAGAAGTCATTTTCATCTGGCGATTTCATGTGACCAACTTAAATTCAATGCAAAATCTTCATGGGGAAACCTTTCACCCTTGCGCAAAATTTTCAGTTGTGAGAATTCCTATTGAAATGGATTTTGGCCACAAAACTTTGCAGAACAATTGCAAATGTGACCGCATCATTTGCAAGGGGAATACACTACCATAACAGTGTGTACCCTAACCAGGTACAACATAAACTACAGTTTCTCTTCAATGTAATTCTGCACAGAATAGCCCCGACAAATGACTGAAGCCTCATTGGTTCAAAATCCTACTCCGCATTATGCATAGTAAACATCAGATATGTTCTGACTGCCTTGTTTGGTGATACAACATTGTTGCTTTCATGCGATGCAACATTCTTGCTTTCACTGTGGACAAATTACTTTGTAGAAATGTATCAGCTAGTTATTACTCTGTGTTTAAAATTGAGATGTTAACAAGTTGAACAGAAAGCAAAATATTGCCACGTTTGGTTAAAATGCCTCTGTTGGAAAAATAACTGACGTAAACTTACAATCAGTAATATTTTGACTTGCAGCAGTGAACAAATAGTCATGCCAATAAAGCACAATTAAATTGAATTGACAACAAGAGAAACAGATAAAGAGTGGTTTAAGTTCTCAGAGAACTCCCATCAGTCACATTCCACAAACTTCTCCTGCTGTTCTGGATTTAAGATGAGCGTCCTCTTTCAGCACCTCATCACCATTTTCTCCTCATAAATCTGCTTTGACTAGTAGAGACAGATTTATTGTCATTTTTCAGTTAAAATGTGGTGTTCATTGTCGTGTCATTCATATTTCATGCCTCTTTCTCTCTCTCCCTTTCCCACAGATCTGTTGGCCACAAACCGTACCTCCATTTTCAATGGTTTTCATGGAGATCTGCACTTGTCAGCTGTGTTTTTGGATGAATATCATGACAGGCTTTTCCTGGGAGGGAAGGATGTTCTCTACTCATTGAGACTGGATCACAAACATGATGCTAAAGAGGTAAGACATACTATCACTGCGATATGGTTAAGATAATAAGCTACCCACGGAGAACACAGGTGTGAAAGCCCAGAAAAAGGGGCGTGTAAAGGCCGGTTCACATACATTCTTGTGTTTAAAAAAAAACAGATGAAGCACAACAGAATGGAAAAAAGTTAAAGCTGAATTGTTTTAACTTGACAAGGTGTTTTTGAAAGGGACATCAGATACAAAATTCACATGGCAAAGTTATTGCAGACATTTCATGAAGACCCTAAAGAATAATACCAACTTGTGGAAAATGGGCATCCAATGTCCCCTTTAAAACGGCAAGCTACATCCCACTAGTCAAATACAGTGGGGGAAAAAAAGTATTTAGTCAGCCACCAATTGTGCAGGTGTTCATTTTCGTGTCATTCATATTTCATGCCTCTTTCTCTCTCTCCCTTTCCCACAGATCTGTTGGCCACAAACCGTACCTCCATTTTCAATGGTTTTCATGGAGATCTGCACTTGTCAGCTGTGTTTTTGGATGAATATCATGACAGGCTTTTCCTGGGAGGGAAGGATGTTCTCTACTCATTGAGACTGGATCACAAACATGATGCTAAAGAGGTAAGACATACTATCACTGCGATATGGTTAAGATAATAAGCTACCCACGGAGAACACAGGTGTGAAAGCCCAGAAAAAGGGGCGTGTAAAGGCCGGTTCACATACATTCTTGTGTTTAAAAAAAACAGATGAAGCACAACAGAATGGAAAAAAGTCTTAACTTTGTTTTAACTTGACAAGGTGTTTTTGAAAGGGACATCAGATACAAAATTCACATGGTGTTTGTTTGCATATAAATGTGTCTTAGCAGTGTGTGTACACAACCACCCTACAATGATAAAAATACATTCACTCCTTTTTTTTTAATCCCCAAAAATAAAAATAAAAGCCATTTTGACCTGAAACGGGTCGCTGTGAACAGAGCTGTTTTTGACAAGGTAAAAAGGGTGTTGTTTTACGCGACCATTGAGAAATTTTAACCAAAGTATTTTGCAGACATTTCATGAAGACCCTAAAGAATAATACCAACTTGTGGAAAATGCAATGTCCCCTTTAAAACGGCAAGCTACATCCCACTAGTCAAATACATCCATCTAGCATTGGTTTACATTAACAAATATTTGAAAACAGTGTAGACAGACTCAAGACACTCATTTATTTATTTATATTATGCATTAAATATGATAAAACTTGTAAAAATGTCATAATATTAATAAAATATTTGTAGTATTTTAAATATTATTTAAATCATAACTATTTAAAATAATATTTATAATTGTATAATATTACAACTATTATAAAACCATCATTGTGAAACCGTCTTTATACTAACATAATATTTAGAGTATTATACATAAAAAAGTTTATTAAAAACTCCAAAGCAAATTTTAGAGCTCAGGTTTTCTGTCACAGGCAGTAGGCCAAATATGTTATTAAAAATGTTTACTAAAAATCACACAAAAACAGCTGTTCACAACACATTAAAGTCATGTAAATTGACCGCCTTTGTGACAAAGACTTGTTTAGACCTCACTTAAGACATATAAACACATAAATGGTCTTGCTTGATTTTACGAGTTCAATGTTTGCTGCCCTTTTTCCTGTTATTGTCTCAGTTTTGTGGTGTAGTTTATAAAATAAAGTTGTGAGTTATGAGAAGACCCACAGTGTATAAATAGGCACTGGGCTAAATGGACTGTAAACGCAGAAGTGCTTTGGTACTATTTGTCTAGAGGGTTTGGCATTTTGTTCCCTGTGCAGTTAACTTTCTATATGTGCGTGGCTGAGCTTAATTAAAGCCTCTGTTCATGTGAATATGTTTTGACTCAAGTCACTGGAGCCTCTACCAGTGTGGTTGTTTTCATATGTAGTCTCCAAAGTATTTATCATTGTGTGTGGCCTTGTTAAAGGATATGAACAGGAAGAGGAGGTGCATTGCCATGGTGACAGACACGTGGGAGTGGCTGCAACATCTGAGGTTATGACCCCGTGACCTTTGGCTCAAGGACAGACGTTTTCTGCCTTGTTAGACCCTTGTACATTCTGTAAGGCCGCCGTACTACCACTGGCCACAGTTTTCAAATATACTACCTTCTGTACTGAGAATTTCATGACAAAAATTAAGCTACAACTGAAATGTTTTTTTCAGTAACAATGTGCAGGAAAAGTTTTTCACCTTTTTTTAGCCAGAAAACAAAATGAGGATGTTTGGATGTGTGAATTTACGTGTGCAAGATTGTTTTGTAGATGCTATCAGTAAAGCTTCCCAGCCGAAGGGGAGGGTGCCACAGAAATCAAGCAGTGATTCATGATGTTGTTCTTTAAGCGGAAAAATTACTCAACCCTGATCAGACTTCCCTTTCCCTCTTGGGCATGTATTTACTGCAAATCTCCATCACCTGTTGCCTTCATCTCAGCTGATCTCAGTTCAGTGAGAGGAATCATTTACTCATTCTTTTCAGAGGACTGTCAGGTCCAGGATTCACCATGCAGTGTTTCTCCCATGGTTAATAGAGGTTGGTTAATCTTAAACATGGTGCATCTGGAGCAAATGAAAAAGCTGAATGAGTGAGCCAGGGCCCTTTCTTTCACACCATGGATTTATAGTATACTATAGTGTTTTTCATTAATAATGACCTTTTATGTCAGTACAACCCAACGACAGCCACATTTGGACTATTTTTAGTCCAAGTGTCCTGAAGAATAAAGGTGATCGCTAATTAAGGAAAGAAGAAATGCTTTCATGCACAGGAAGGATGCTGGGTAACAGCTGATTACAGGTTCCGGATTTAGACAATGTCAAAATGTGTAAGAGCTTGAAAGGGTAAATAAAAGCTAATGACTCACTAATGATTTAATAATATGAAGGCTGGAACTGATTGAAACTAACAGTTTTTTTAATGATATCTGACATTTTACAAGCAGTAGAAGGATTTGTAAATGTCATGTGATGTAAAGAGGTTGATTAGTCAACAAATGAACAATTTCCCTGGGAACTGAACCTGTGACCTTGGCATTGATCCAGGTTTGAGCTATAGGAACACTATTTAACTTTAGACTATTTTATTTAAATATATTTTTTGTTGGAAATATAATCTTTAATGGGTGTCTGATAGGCCTATATCTAATCACACAAATAAAAATTTATAATTGTGTTATATTCTGTTCGCGTTTGCTGAAGAGGACTATATAACTTATGAAATTAAGCTTGCATATGTTTGCAGATCTGTATAAACAAACCCAAAAGTCTCTTTGAGGTCTGAACGTGACAGCGGTTTTGTTCCAGACTGTTCTGTGACACATGAGAAATTAATGCGTCAGGATGTGCAGCTTGTTGTTTGTCATTTCTCCGATCACAAATGCAGACATGGTTTTATGTTTACGTGGCGCAATGCAACGCAACGCGTAAAAAGACAGTATAAGTCATTATAATCCATAATTATGTCCCCACTGGATGCAACGAATGCCTTGTTTATAATGGGTTTTCATGTTTTTGAATCATCGCTCCGGCCTGACAGGGCATCATCACAATGTGGTAGGGGCGTAACATTTCCGTCACACGCTTGAAGTATTCGGCCAATCACAACGCTCTGGATATATGGCCAATCACAGCACACCTCGCTTTTTCAGACCGATGAGCTTTGTAAAAGGTGGGGCATAGAGGAGAAACAATAATGTAATGTGTTTTTTTAACCTTAAACCGCATAAACACATTTCATTACACCAAATACACAAAATACTGTTCTTTTTAGTAGCATCATATGGCCCCTTTAAATCTTTCCTGTCCTCTGTCCCTAATGGTGGAGGGTCTTACACACACACACACACACACACACACTAGTACAGAGATACACTCTGCATCTGTTAGTGTTTAGCATGTTTTGCTCGTAAGTTGGAAATGTGAGGTGTCGCCATGTTTACACGCTCTGGTGACTGTCCCGGCAGTATTGTTTGATGTGACAGGTGAGTGCGATTTCACAGCGGTGTTTTAATGACTCTGTTCAGTGTGTGAGTATGTGTTAGGGAGTTGAACAGGATATTTGTTTTTCATTTAAATTTTAGCTTGGGTAACACTGAAACAACACACAGATATGAACTCAGAAGAGTTTTATGTACCACATAACAGCTCACACAAAAATGACTGGTGACACTTTCCATGAATAGGTGACATTTTAGGGTTACACTTTTGTTTGTAGAATATCTAAAGTGGACTATGAAAATAAAGTTTTGCCAATTTTAGTGTATTTATTTATTTATTTTAGATTTAGAGGCACAAATCCCTTTTTTGTGACAACCAATCAAAACTTTAGATAAACTACTAAACAAAACCTAGCATGAAAATATATAGTTTTAAATACATCAGACCTCAAAAGTGGTATTCAATTATTTATAAATACAGCTATTTTAATTAATTTTAATTTAATTTTAATTTTAATTAATTACATTTTAATGACCAAAACTATTAATTTATTTATTTTTCACAATTTAATTTATTTGAATATGTACATTTAATAGAATATTTATTACTAAAATAAAACTACACAAATCAGGGTTTTATCACAAATAAGGTTTGTCCCAAATTTTGATTGCATGTCAGCAAAAATTCCACAACTCATAGAAAATGATTGGAAAATTAAACAGCTTAATATAAAGTTTGACCTCCTGAGACTGACAAACAGCATTTTATCATTTGTGACCCTGGACCACAAAACCAGTCTTAAGTCGCTGGGGTATATTTGTAGCAATAGCCAAAAATACATTGTATGGGTCAAAATTATTGATTTTTCTTTTATGCCAAAAATCATTAGGATATTAAGTAAAGATCATGCTCCATGAAGATATTGTGTACATTTTTTTGATAAATATATCAAAACTTAATTTTTGATTAGTAATATGCATTGCTAAGAACTTCATTTGGACAACTTTAAAGGTGATTTTCTCAATATTATTATTATTTTTTTGCACCCTCAGATTCCAGATATTCAAATAGTCGTATCTCGGCCAAGACTGGTACATTGCTGCTTTGGATCTCTCTCACTCTCTCAGTCCTGCTGGTTAACATCTGGCAGCAGTTTGAGCATCTGCCTGCATCTTTTATGACCCTTGACCTTTTGCTCATTTATGCTCCACTGATTTTGACCCTACACAGTCAATGAAGCTGCATACAGGTGGCCATAGTTAGAGTGTGTACATGTTGATAGTGTGTGTGTAAGACGTCTTCCTCTTTCTGAACCTTTCAGTAAATGGACCATAAGAGCTTCTTTCCCATGTTAAAAGCTCTGATTGGTGAGTGGGGATCATTTTCTTGCTCTTTTTCTCTGATCCATTAAAATGTTAATGATTCCTGTAACTCTCCATTCAGACACTCCAGAGAAATATTGGTCACACTCACACATGCCAAAATTACTCATGATCATGAACTGCATTTGATGAGTTTAACCTCGCTGTCCAATGTAAAATACATGTATTTGTATGTTTGTGTAAGTAATTGTGCTGTAATTATCAAGATTGTACCCTCATTTGCCGCCAAAACACCCAACACTTTAATATGAACTCTTTCTATGTGTGTTTGGTGCAGACAGAGTGTGCAAACTTTGTGCGGTTGTTGCAGCCATTTAACCGCACTCATCTACTGGCCTGTGGAACTGGAGCTTTCCAACCTGTGTGTGCATATGTGAATGTTGGACAGCGCGGAGAGGTAACACACACAAACACTCCCTCCCACTGCTTCACACCTAGTGTGTTTGTGTATGCACATCAGGAGGATCTAATTTACTTATGTATATCAAAGACCTAATTGTTTTAAGGTCAGAGGTCACCCACCAACAGGCCGGCCCTTAAGGTCAAGACTAGATCATGAGAGGAGATGCAAAGCAAAAGCACACAAACACAGAGCAGAGGATAGAAAAAGAGAAATAATGTATGTCTATTCTGAATAGAATGTCTATTCTGGCATTGGAGAGCTGTTCTTTACTTCCTTTGAGGTGTTTTAACTGGTGTGTCACCACCCAGGGCGCCACAGATGTCTGACAAATAGACAATACTACATTGTGAAACTGAACTGGCACCAGAGGTTTAATCTCTCTTTGGCACCACTGGACACACCCATACAGTGTCTGACATCAATGACAGTAAAAACTACTGAACTACTATAATTACATTTTAGATTTCTGATATGGTACAGCCTTGAAACTCAAAGTCAGACGAGACTATGTAAATGGATAGCTCACCCCCAAACTTTTATGAGTTTCTTTCTTCTGTTGAATATAAAAGAAAAGAAAAAACTATGTTAGTCAATGGCTACCAGCAACTGTTTTATTACCAACATTCTTCAAAATATTTTAAGCTATATTCAACAGAAGAACAATTTTATATCCCTTTGATTGTATAATCATTTTGTACTGATCTGACGTTGATGATAAATACAACCAATAACACTAGTTAACTAAAGTAATCAGTGGATAATTTATTTGAATTGGTTAAATGTAAACCCAAACAAACAATTTCACTAAAATGTTTTGAATTTCCCAGTGCTGCATACAGTATAAGAGAAAAGGGATCGTGTATGAGAGCACAGTCATTGCCTCAGCTCTTCTGGCTGTAAAGCTATGTGTATAATAGACCGTGACAAGAAAAACAATGATGTAGTGTTGTGTAATGCTACTCTGGTACTTGTTGGGAAAATCAGTTCAAGAGTTACGCTATTATGAAAACAGTTGAAGTACATTGATGCTACTGATAATTGTAGCAAGTAAAAGTTAGTAGTGTTGCTAAATTTAGTTAGTCTAACCCCATTTAGTTTAACCCCATCACTATTATTTCTCTTTGGGGTCAGTTTGACGCAAATTACAATGAGCAAATCACAATAAACTGGTTGAAACTACCAAATCAAAAGTTTGGGGTCAGTAAGCAATCAATACTTTAATTTGATCTGAATTGACAGCAAAGACTTATTGTTACAATAAATAATTTTTCAAGTAAATGCTGTTTTTTTTACTTTCTATTTATCAAATAATCCTGAAAAAGTATGATGGTTTTCACAAAAATATTATGCAGCAATATTATTATGTGGTCTCAAAGATCCCAAACTAATGCATTGTGACATTTTTAAGCTATTAGTTTTGTTTATAATCAGTTCTCATAAGGTGAGGAAAAGTCAGGAAGTATTAAACTGAGCTATAATAATAAATGTATCTTTAGAAATATTTAGTGGGGCTTGGGGTCTCTTAAGACCTCAAACTGAACATGATTAATAGTATATCCCAGTATTGTAAAAATAAATAATACATTTCTTCACAAGCAAAAGAAATTCAGACATTTGTGAGCTCAAGTTTATTTTTGAGTTGTTAAACTGGTGTGAATTTTCTGACTTGTTGGCAGCATGTGTTCAGTTTGGATCGCACCACGGTACAGAATGGGAGGGGGAAATGTCCCCATGACCCCAAACTACCCTTTGCAAGCACCTTCACAGGTACATTTCAGTGTGTTAAGTTTCAGCATCAATATTCATGCCACTGCATGCTTGTGTTGTGTGTTTATAAGTATGTCAGAGCACGTTTGTGTGTGTGTGTGTTCTGGCTCTCGTGTGTGTTGGGTGGAGGTTTCTGCTTGTCAGTTGTCACTGAGATTATGGCCTGTTGTAGATTGACTGCTCTGATGGGAGAAATTTGAGGTGTTCTTCAGTCCAGGTTTAGTGTTGCGGGGGTCTTCTTTATGTATGTTCATGGGTGTGTTACAGTCTTCTGGGGCACAGACACATCTCCCAGTGTGTATGTGTGTCTTTACAACACTGCACAATCTTGGCTCCCCTCGCTGGACATTTTGCCAGATGCAATACTTTTCGGGACAGATTTTTAAGATTGCATGTTAGTGAACTCGGAGATACTTTCACACAGACACACTGTACACATGAGTTTCTGTCAGATAATTGATGGGCAACAGAGGCAACATGTGTTCTAGTAGGTTTTTAACGTTTTTTTAAAATTATAAACGGTTTAATTATAATTAAAAAACAGTAAAATGGTATGATCTTATTTTAGATGATGAAGTGTGTGTGACTTTGAAAAACTTTTGACTGTATATCGGGTCTCTCCTGATTTATACAGTAGGTGTGTATGAGTGTGTTTTCAAGCTGATAACATGATTTAATGAAAAATTTTACAATGGGGCTCCTTACATAAAATTGTTTACTTTTCCTTCCTCTCATGTAAGAGATTGAGTTCTCTGCACTGACCTCCAATGCTCTCTGTTTCTCTCTCAGGTGGAGAGCTGTACACCGGTCTGACTGCAGATTTTTTGGGGAGAGACTCTGTGATTTTGAGAGGTTTAGGGACTCGCTCGCCAATGAGAACAGAGACGGATCAGAGAATCCTACACGGTACAAAGTGACTTAATTTTGATATTAATAAAAATTTTCAGTCTTATTTCTTATGTGTTTTATAACATTTTATAGTGGAAAGGTTGGTGACATTAATACATTTTACTCATAGCAAAACTGTAGTTGAAATCAGTGTTATTACTATTAACTAAAACTTGAAAAAAACATTTTGTTAATTGAAATTAAAAACTTAAACATAAAAAACTTAAACGAAAATTAGAAATGTTACTTCTGCTACTAACTGAAATATAAAAGTTAAAGTTAAATTAAAGCAAAAAAATATTAGATGGCAAAATGGCAAAAGCACAACAAAATAACTATAACTTGGACTAAAATGAAAATAAAAGCTAAAATAAAAATGAAATGTGATACAAGATTTTAATATATAAATAATACTAAAAAAACATTGGTGAAATTAGCAATTTTAGTATTATTTATAATTTGTGTACAATTTTTGTCATTTTCACACAATAAATGTTACAATAGTTATTTATTCTTTATTTATAATTAAAATATAATTTATAATGTTTTATAATGTATTTCCATATTTTAAATCCTGGGACAAAAGTGCTCATTATTGATGGAACACCCAATTAGTAATGATTTCTCAAAATCATTAGTCAAACTGAATTGATAGACTACATGCTTCCAACTATCAGATGTGCATTATAATAGTGTGTGTTTGTCTGTGTTTGTGCATGTACAGAGCCCAGGTTTATTGCGGCCCACCTCATTCCTGACAGTGCAGACAGAGATGATGATAAAATGTATTTCTTCTTCACTGAAAGAGCAACAGAGACTGCAGAGCGAGACGATGAAGGAGCCATACACACACGCATTGGACGATTGTGTGTGGTGAGACAAACTTCAACAAATACCACATACATACAGTACATCCAGGCACAAGTAGGCCAGTATACTGGAATGCTTCAGCCCTTTTTCAACCAAATGTGCACAGCTGCTGGATGGTTTGCATGCCTCTGAATCACACACACACTCACCAATTAGCCTAGTTACCAAACACACACATACACACTAATACACAAGGCTCTGTAGAGTAAGGGGAGCAGTACAAATCTCCCTCTGTCATTCAGAGGTCAGTGTTCAAAGAGCCAGGGTCAATCGCACATTACTGTCACTTTGACTTCTATTCATTGTTCAACTTCAGCACATTCCCAAATCACACACACACTCTCTTACACTGCAGAGAAGGTGATTATCTCCACATATACTGATTACACAGATTTAGGATCCTTTACGCCACCCATGTGTCTTCGACACGGTAAACCCAGCTGCATTGCTTTTTGGGAATCTGTTACAGAATTTCCCTTATGGTGCCATAATCTCCATAACTGACCTGAGATATTTTGTGATATTGAACCATTCTTGTTCCCATGGGAACAGTTACAACTGAATGTTTATGTATAAACAGGGTTCAGATTACAGGGGTTTGGGGTGTGTGACCCCCCTTAATTAAACCACTTCAGATGAAAAGGTCAAATGAGTAGGTCACAAACTCCGTTGTACTAGGGATTGTGGGAAATATTTGCTCAAAAGCATGTCTGGATGTACTGTGGCACTTTTTGTATACTAGTTTCAATGCACTATGATTTGGAATGCACTAATTCTAATATTGCATACTACTTAGGACGGATAGTATACAAATTGAGACGCAGGGATAGTTTGTTTTACCCAGAGTTCATTGTGTGTGGTCTGGGGTAAATGATACTGGGATTTGACTTTTTGCCGATCTGTTGTCCAGAAGTGAATTCAACGCTTCATGATTTATTGTTTATGTGGTTTCAGAATGATGTGGGTGGGCAGAGGGTTCTGGTGAATAAGTGGAGCACATTTATTAAAGCCCGACTGGTGTGTTCGGTTCCTGGACCTCATGGCATCCAAACACACTTTCACCAGCTGGGTGAGACAGTAAACACACACACACACCTTTTTATGCACAATGTTATATAAACTTGAGATAATTTTGATCTCTAAACGCCCCTTGTGTGATCTTTGACTGTATGTGTTTGTCATGCAGAGGATGTGTTTCTGTTAAGGACCAAAGACGAAACCAATCCAGAGATCTACGCAATATTCAGCACCATCAGGTCAGTCTCAAATGCGACTGAAAGCACATCTGTTTATCTGTCCATTTCCTCTGTAAAGCACTGTGCTGTGTTTCAACTCATATCGATTGCACTATTATTTCATTCAGTTTGTCTTTGTCTTTGTCTTTTGTTTTAATCCGTTTTAGATTAAACTTGTTTTATGTATTTTTATGCCTTTTTTTCTTATTTTTTATGTTCTTAATATTTAAAAATTTTGAATTTTTGTATTTTATTTTATTTTTTCCTCTCTTCCTTAGTTATGCTATTGTAAAGCACTTTAAATTGCCATTGTGTATGAAATGTATAATTAAACTTGCATTGCCTTGTCATTTTTGTCTTTGTCTTTGTCTTTTGTTTTAATCCGTTTTAGATTAAACTTGTTTTACGTATTTTTATGCCTTTTTTCTTATTTTTTATGTTCTTTATATTTAAAAATTTTGAATTTTTGTATTTTATTTTATTTTTTCCTCTCTTCCTTAGTTATGCTATTGTAAAGCACTTTAAATTGCCATTGTGTATGAAATGTATAATTAAACTTGCATTGCCTTGTCATTTTTAAAAGAATAGTTCAACCAAAAATGAAAATTAGCTGAAAATGTACTCACCCTCAGGCTATCCAAGATGTAGATGGGTTTCTTTGTCAGATTAATGGGATGCTTTTATCAGCTGTTTAAACTCTCATTCTGATGGCACCCATTCACTGCAGATGATCCATTGGTGAGCAAGTGATATAATACTAAATTTCTCCAGATCTGTTACGATAATGAAACAAACTGATCTACATCTTGAATGGCCTGAGGACGAGAACATTTTCAGCAAATTTAGATTTTTGGGTGAACTGTTTCATGAATAAGGGGTGTGTGAGTTTCACAGAATATTTTCTCTCTCTAGTAATGTGTTTCAGGGCTATGCAGTGTGTGTGTATAGTATGGCTGATATCCGTGAAGCATTTAATGGGCCATTTGCTCATAAAGAAAGGCCAGACTATCAGTGGGGACCTTATGAAGGACGGGTCCCTTACCCGAGACCAGGAGTGTGCCCTAGTAAGATCACGGCCCAGCCTGGTCGTGCCTTCCGTAGTACACTGGAGTTTCCAGATGCTGTTCTGCAATTTGCACGAACACACCCACTAATGTGGCGTCCCATTTACCCATCACAACGGCAACCACTGCTGCTCCGCACCGGCGCCCCATACAGGCTCACTCACATCACTGTAGACCGCACACAGGCTGAGGACGGATACTATGATGTCATGTTCATCGGCACTGGTAAGACAGATTGTCATCACTTCAGTAAACACTCAAGTATGTTTATAACCCTTGGTGACTGATTGAATAACTGTAACCTTTGACCTCTTCAGATATTGGGACTGTGCTAAAGGTTATCGTACTTGGAAACAGTAACTCTCTGGCCAACGAGGAGATCACCCTGGAGGAAATGCAGGTGTTCAAGGTCTGTGAGCTCAAAAGTGTGTGTATGTGTAATGATGTGTGCATTTATTTGTCTGTTCATGAGAATAGCTGAATTTTCATCCATTATACCATAGCAGCACCCCTGCTCAAGAAACATTTCTTGTCATTATTAATGTTGAAAACAGTTGTGCTGCTTAATATTTTTTGTGAAATTGTGATTCTTTTTTTTTTCAGGATTCTTTGATAAAATTTCAAAAGAACAGCATTTATTTGCAATAGCATTCTTTTGCTACATTATAAAAGAATTTACTGTTACAAAAAAATCTTACTGGCCCCCAATCTTTTTAACAGTAGTGTATATGTGTATGTACGCATACCTTAAGTTCTGTTTCTCATGATATTTATCTCTGCAGGTACCCACTCCCATAACCTCCATGGACATATCTGTGAAAAGGGTAAGTTCATGCTTCGTGCACTCTCGCTATATTATTCCAGCAAATTAATGTAAGCTTAGTAACATAAGCAGCACCATAAAATAATTTTCCACAAAATTCCCAAGGAGGCTTTTACTGTGTGCACAGAAATGGGACTCCACTTTGTGTGTATAGGCTTTTTGACTCCAAAGCAATAAAACATTAATGCAAAACAACCAGTTGCTTAGTTATTCATCATGAAGCAGGCGCTTTATATCCAAACCGAATGAGAGTTCACTTACTTCATAGACAGTCCTGGAGCCACAGGAGTTAAAGCATCAGTTCATACACAAATAAAAATGGTCATCATTTACATCATTTAGTTACAAATCATTCCAAACTCATGATGTTTTTTGAAAGGAATCCTCATTCAAACATACACACAGTTCCTCAATACTCATTGCACCAGGCATGATAGTGTTGGTTGATTTTTTTCTTCTTAAATTTGTATTAAATAATGACAAATTTTGGTCATATAGACCACTTTTATAGTGCTTTTTTGTGCCTTTTTAGAACTTGACAACACCAGTCCTCATTCACTTTTATATGGAAAAGAGCAGCCAGGGCATTCTCCTAAACATCTCCTTTTGTGTAAAGGTGTTTGGAATGATATGACATTTGACTAAATAATGTAGAATTTAGTTTTTTGGGTGAACTATCTCTGTTTTTCTCAAGCGAACAGTGGAAAACGGAACCAAAACTGTTATTTCTCTGTCTCTTCCAGCAAACTCTGTTCGTAGGTTCACAGACAGGTGTTGTCCAGGTGCCTCTGCACCGTTGCAGTATGTACGGTAAAGCTTGTGCCGAGTGCTGCCTGGCTCGAGATCCATACTGTGCCTGGGACGGACACACCTGCACACGCTACCTGCCAAACACAAAACGGCGTTACCGAAGACAGGACATCAAACATGCAAACCCAGCACTGCAGTGCATGGACCAAAACCTCAGCGGTAAGAAAGGAGGAAAGAAATGACAGCCTTCTTAACTGAGTGCAGCCATGCTGCCTGAATGTCAATACACCAGCGGCCTCCTCTGAGAACTTCAAATGCATTTACATGTCAAAGAGCTCACTGATGTGAAAGTGCAGGAGAAGAGCAATTCCTTCATAGATTTGAATTTAAATTGTTTAATCATTAGCATTAGAAACTTTAGTACACCTTTGAGCTTGTCTGATAGGAAGATTAATAGGGTTTGAAGGGCAATCTCACTCCACTGGGACAAACTCTCTGTTCGGTGTGAAATACAGGAACTGATAGAGTGATAGGTGAACAGGCAGATCACTCTCTATCTCTCATCACATAAAAGAGAGAATGAGAGGAAAGAACAAAAGAGGTGTGAGTGATGAGCGCTTGAGTGTTTGCATGCCAAAGATTAGAATGTTGGTGATGAAAAGGGATTATATATGTATGTGCACACTTATATAAACACATATGCCGTGGAAAATCCTGGACTGACCTTACAATGAACCATGTTGTGTGACTGTGTAAAAGTGTCTGTATTAACCATCATGTGGTCCTCTCTGAAGTGGAGGATCTGGAGCTGACTGAAGAACGAGTCGTTTATGGCACCGAGAACAACAGCACCTTCCTGGAGTGCATCCCTCGATCGCCACAGGCCACTGTCACATGGCACATTCAGAGAGATGACTACATAGAGGAGGTGTTTTGTTGATTTAATTATTAAAAAATATATATATGGTGTTTAAAACGTGGATACATTCTGGCTGGAAAACTTGAACATGTCCATAGTTCTCTAAGACACTTTCAGAAAATAATCTTGGGCGCAGTTGGTGTAAAGTCACTGCAAAGAAAAGAAAAGTTTGCAATCTCTGTTGGAATATCCCATTTTGTTTGATTATGAAATGCATTATTTTAATTGTGTTTTATTTGAGAAAGACCTGTTTTTTCCAAATGTCCTCTGTTTAGGTGGTACTAGATGAACATATCACTAAGACAGACGATGGTTTGTTGTTCCGCCGTGTGCTCCGTCAGGATGAAGGCATCTATGTGTGTCGATCTCGGGAACACGGATTCACACAAACCCTCTCACGCTTCTGGTTGGACGTCTTACACACTGACACCCTTTCAGACCTCCTGTCACGTGACAGCAAATATAAAGTATGGTCACCGTGCCCTGCCAACACAGCCTCTACCAATCGTGGCCCAGCCAGGACGTGGTTCAAGGACATCTTGCAGCTGATTGGTCCTTCGAACTTGCCGCAGGTGGAGCAGTACTGTGAACGTGTTTGGTGTAATGAGAAGCTGAGACGCAAACACAAAAGCATGATGAACAAATATCGGCAAGTGCAGGACTCTGCACGGCGAGCACGAGTCCAAAAGAGCACAGGAGAATCCCGAATCCGCTCTCCACGGGACCTCCACTCACAAGAGTAAAATACAGAGCCACATGAAGCAATATGGACTTCCAAAGGAAAGTGGACGTGATTTTTAGATGCTCTCATACACACACATAAACATACTTGTTTTTGTTTGTGGTGATGTAAAATATTATAGGTTGCGTGTTTAACAGTCCAAGATCTCTCCCTGTGAATTAGGACATTCTTGAGGATTCATCCTTTCTAAAAGTTCCTGTGACCATGGCAGCCGGCCCTCATCATCTCACAGTAGACCATGGCTGATGTCTTAAGAGCTCAGCAGCTGCAAAATCTTTTTACTGGAACAAATGAGGGTAGACAGGATGGAACTAGTAGATTGGAGCGCAGACCCTGCTATAACAGGTGCCCAAAAAAAAACAAAAAAACATTTAAGATACATCTGGCTGTGATACAACTGAGTGTAACACTCAGACTTTTCCTCAACTGAGAACTATGGCAGAGTTCAACAAAACATTAAACAGTAAAGAAATAAAAGTTTGGACTAATTACTGTGACCATGGCAGCCGGCCCTCATCATCTCACAGTAGACCATGGGTGATGTCTTAAGAGCTCAGCAGCTGCAAAACCTTTTTACTGGAACAAATGAGGGTAGACAGGATGGAACTAGTAGATTGGAGCGCAGACCCTGCTATAACAGGTGCCCAAAAAAAACAAAAAAACATTTAAGATACATCTGGCTGTGATACAACTGAGTGTAACACTCAGACTTTTCCTCAACTGAGAACTATGGCAGAGTTCAACAAAACATTAAACAGTAAAGAAATAAAAGTTTGGACTAATTGGACTATTTTCTGGTAACTGAATCATAGGTTGACGACCATTGAGACTTCAACAGAACGGACTTTGTTCTTAATCAGCTTGAAACACCACATCGCCATCATGAGCTTCAGAACTTTGTACAGGGTTCGTTTTCTTTTCATTTTTTGCAATGTAAAGTTTTGGTAACACTTTACAGTAAAGTCAGATTTATTAGTTAAATGCATCAGCTAACATGAAATAATTCATTTTACAGCATTTATCAATCTTGTTTTTTATTTTTTTTACATTGTATAAAATAACGTTAATTTATTATGAATGTGAATTATTATAATAAATTATCAGTGAACAATAGTATATTTATAAATTAACATTAACCTAAACTTATAAATGCTGTAAAAATTGTTCAATGTTAGTTCATGTTATTACGTGGCTCTTTGGAATACACAACTCTGATTGGTCAATCGCAGCATTCTGTCGTCCATGACAATGCTGCAACTAAAACTAGCGCTATGTACCACATAGTTACACTTTCTTTTTTCACAGAAACGCAAATGGTGCCATTTTGCGTGTCAGTTTTCTATCGTAGTGAAAATTACCTCAGAGAACTTAATATTACTGCAATATAACTGCCGTGTCATGTGCACTTATTTATTTCTTTGGTGAATTCTTGATACGAACATCTGTGTCCTGTCTCGCTGTTCACTTACTCTAGTTTACTGGTTTCTTTGTACACCTAGACTAAAAACTCCTGCATCACTTGAACCATTTATTTATAGTTAGAAAGGTCTGGCAAAAAATACTGCTTTCTCTAAAAAACGTTTCTACAAATCTTTCCTGGAGAGCAACCGTTTGGCTGCAAACTTTCTCCAGTGTCTTTTCAGAACTTCAGGGAAAAATCAAACCGCTGGAGCAAATCGAGCAAAAGAAACAAGCTCACTTACAATTTTCTGTTCAATGCCCTGACATGACTGACTGCATTGACTAGCTGCACTGAAACTGCTTTTTGTGAATGGGTACAGCATCACTGCTCTGATTTGAACTGCATGTGTCATTATTATTATTATTATTATTTTAAATACAATATTAAAACAATCTGAAAGGAGTTCTGTACCTCCAATAACATCAACAGCACAATTCCTCCTTTCCAATTCCTTCTTTAAATCAGTTGTATTGACTTTAGCTCATTTTCTCTGTAGATAAAATACACAGGACAAATGCATTGTTTTAGCTAGTGTGTCTGATATATTTGTTATTTAAATGTGATTCTTGCATGCAGAAAACTCCGACCTGTGTTTGGTTCAGTGATACATAAATAAAAACATTTTACAGAGAGTTTTATGGGTTTGCGTTTCACATCACGTCCTTGGAAAGCGATTAGGTCAGCTCAGAGCGACCCCCTCTTAGAGGGACCCAGGGGTTGGGTGTGACCGTTCAGCGTTACAGATGTTGCTTTTATGTTCTCCAACGTGTGCTGGTTTATCATGCTGAACTGAAAAGGCCCTTTTCTCCTGAGATTGTCTTTGTCAGTGCTCAATTTATAAATGACTCCATTCAGTCAATAGTGTCATTAGTCAGTACGAGGCTCGACATTAAGAACAAGCACCTGTGCTGTGATAGAGATATATATATAGCTGCTGGAGAACAGCACAGTAAAAGAGCTATAAAAATCAGTAAAGATGTTCATAAACCAGACCCAGCCAGAACCGAAACACCAGCTAAATGAGGCTCTAATGTGTGTTTATGTGATGTAGTTAGCAGGTGGATACGGTTGCATCATATAACTGTCAAATTATGCCATGGTTTTGCTCTCAGTGTTAAAAAGCTAATTGCTAAGTCAAACATGAATGTTTTTATTGCCATTTGTTCTAGACCCCTGACCTGAAGTAGTAAACTTTGTCATATACATATAGCTCACCTTACCGTTGATGCAACAGACATGAATCACTCAGAAAACATTAGCAACTCTCTGGCAACCACCCACAATAGCCTAGGACTGTGGTTCTGTACCAGGAGACCGGAGCCCACTACACAGCAAAATCCCCAGTGTTAAATCAACTCTGCTAAGAGTACATATTGTCCCAATCTACAGAGTATTAAAGTAACACTGAAGCAGAGTTACCACTGTTGAAGATTGTGATATGTTTTCATGTCTAAAAGCCTTAGCAGTAGTTGTTCATCTTCAACATTGTTAACAGCGGGTTTTCTTTACTAATGCTCACTCAGTTAAGTAATTGCTTAATGAACCCATTAACTTTAACTCGGCTTCAGTGTTACTTTAAAGGGGTCATATGATGCAATTTCAATTTTTCCTTTCTCTTTGGAGTGTTACAAGCTCTTGGTGCATAAAGAAGATCTGTAAAGTTGCAAAGACTAAAGTCTCAAACCCAAAGAGATATTTTTTTATAAAAGTTAAGAGTCAACCACGCTTACCTAAAACGGCTCGTTTTAACACGCCCCCACATACCTACGTCACGATGTGGGAAGATTTGCATAACACCGCCCAAATGGCAAAGAAAGAAGGCGTAACTTTTATTCTCATTGTAGTATTGTTGACGCTGCAGCCATGTCATGGAGACACTGTGTGCTTCTTTGTGAAAGCGAAACTACTTTGTTTGGTCTTCCAAAAGAGGACGATATCCGCTTTGTCATGCCTAGAGCTGATCTGTGCTGGTCGCTGAGAAAATATATCAACTTTCACCGTGGACGAAGCGGAGTCCAGCCCGCCTCAGCTCACGCTAGGCCGCTGTGTTTTTCGTTGCCACTGATGATTCAAACGCGAGTTTTGGGCAGTGTAGAGTGGTGCTTGTTGTTTGACATTTCTCTGATCACAAATGCAGACATGGTTTTATGTTTACGCGGCGCGATGCAACGCGTAAAAAGACAGTATAAGTCATTATAATCAGTAATTATGTCCCCACTGGATGCAACAAATGCCTCGTTTATAATGGGTTTTCATGTTTATGTCTTGTCGCTCCTTGGCCGGACAGGGCATCACAGTATGGTAGGGGCGTAACATTTCCGTCTCACGCTTGAGGTATTCGGCCAATCACAACGCATTGGATAGCTGGCCAATCACAGCACACCTCGCTTTTCAGACCGATGAGTTTTGTAAAAATTGATGCGTTTCAGAAAGGTGGGGCATAGAGGAGAAACAATAATGTATAGTATGTGGAAAATAATGTTTTTTGAACTTTAAACAGCATAAACACATTTCATTACACCAAATACACAAAATAATGTTCTTTTTAGCAACATCATATGACCCCTTTAACACTCTGTAGATTGGGACAATATGTACTCTGAGCAGAGTTGATTTAACTCTGGGGATTTTACTGTGTAGGGGGCCCAGGATAATTTAATTATTTAAAATAACAAAAAGCATTAAAAAGAACCAAAAAGCAAAAGCTAAAAATTGCAAATCTTGGAAAATCTGCATATATACACACACACACACACCTTTTTAGCAACATCATATGACCCCTTTAACACTCTGTAGATTGGGACAATATGTACTCTGAGCAGAGTTGATTTAACTCTGGGGATTTTACTGTGTAGGGGGCCCAGGATAATTTAATTATTTAAAATAACAAAAAGCATTAAAAAGAACCAAAAAGCAAAAGCTAAAAATCAAGATTTTTTATTTTATTTACCTCAACTTTTTTTTTTCTCCTTTCAAAAACCAAGATTCCCACAGTCTTGGAAAATCTGCATATATACACACACACACACGAGGAAAGCCCATTTTATTTGATTAATAATGCCAAGCTCTAAAATATTTTATTGGCTGGAAATTGAGATTCATTCTTAACCTTTATAATCCTTATCATGAAAGACGACATGCAAATGCATTGGTAAAAGAGTGGAACATTCTGCATTTAAACATTCTGGAATTCTGAAAAGTTATTATTTTAGTGACTTGACTTAAATTACAAGTGCCCATAGATACAAAAAAAAGTAGTTCATTTGTGTCGATGTATTTTCACCTTCTGCTGCGTGGATTTTGAGTGGAACCACTGGTGTTTGAGTGCATGGGAATCATTTGACTTTGGCCGTAGCATAGTGAAAAGTTATTTCATGTGTTTGAAACAGCCAGTTTGTTACAATAACCTTTTAAGGATTCTTTCAACTTCAGAAGGGAGGGAGTCCATCAGGGAGATCAGGGAGAATGAATATCTAGCGCATGAGCACAGAGAGATTTGAGAGTGCACAGGACAGTTTGAGTGAGAGGAGAGACACGTTTTAAGTGCGCGCACTCTCCCCGGGCGAGAGCAGCGTGTATCTGAGCGCGCGTGTCCGGTTTTGTGCGAGAGCAAAAGAGATTCGCGCTCGAGCATTATATGAATGTGCTTTCGCGCTACAATAATGCGCTCTCGACATTTGTCATTAAAATAACGCCATACTCGAGTGACATCGAAAGAAAGACAGAAAAGAAACAAAGAATGAAAATGAGTGCAAGAATCTATAGGTGAGTCAGTGAGACGATCTGTCGACCCTGCTTAAGTCAACACCTCTAACAAGAGTCTGAGAGGTTAAGGAGTCTAATGAAGGGTTCATTAGCACTAATTGGCATCATTAATCACTACAGCTGTCACAGAAAGATACATTACCAGTTAGTAGGCAGAATGGAAAATGTGTAGCAAGTGGTCATGTTTTATATTGTCTTTATAAGCATATTCAATAATGCAACTACTAAAAAATAAATAGAATTTCATAATTATTTCACGTTGTTTTATTTTTCTGGGCAATAATGTGGAGATGTTCAACACATTTCCTTCACTCCTTTATAATTTGTTTGCTACATTTTTTTAATAAATTACTTTTTAAATTCTATTTTTATTTTTGTTCTTTACTTAAAAAATAATCGTGCCATATGAAATATTCTGTTAGAAGCGTGACTAGTGTGAAACACAGCATGCACAGCAGCGCACTCGAGTGGTGAGATTGCGCTACTGCATACACTTAAAAAAAAAAAATTCTTAAATTCTCACTCCTTGCTTTATAACAAATACAAATTGAGGAGTTATTCTTTTAAGTAACTGTATTTTATTGTGTTAATCATTTACAGTCTGATGCAACAATCCACAGAGAAAATACTCCGGGAATAATACAGTGTTCACGTCAACTTTGGCCTTCGACCTTTGACTTGTCCACAAAATGCAACTCACACTTTCCCCCAATGTACAGAAATCCTAATATTTAATGGCACAAACACACAGAGCCTCTCTCACATTGAGACACATACACCCGCTCTTTTCTTACACTCTCTCTCTAAAGATAAGAAGCGTCACAAATACTACAAAAAAAATCAGATGAGTTTGAAATGCTGTTTGAATAGTCTTTTAAATTACCCGAATAGTTACTTTCGAATTGTGTTAGGTTAGGTCTTTAAATGTGTATTCAAAAGAAGGAGAAGGATTTCAAAATATACACACAAGGATGTTCTCATATTCTCCTCTATCAAAATGGACAATACACGTAGGTCAGTTTCATCACAAACCACCACAACACATTAGCTTATCGAGCCATAAATATATGTTGAAAACACCAGATGATCTTGCAAGACAGTTTTAAAACATGGTCTTCCCATTGTATAAAAAAAACGCTCAAGACGTTTTAAGTCATGCAAAAAAATAACCATTAAGTACAACTTTTAGAAAACGGATATAAATACTACCACATGATAATCCGCCAGTTCTGCTCAAAACATTCTTACATCCATTTAAAAATGAATCAGAATTGATTATTTTACAATGCCACATTTCTCTCATCCCCGTCACAGCAGAAACCACAAATACCCACAGACACCAGATGAGGGCCCTCAGACCGAGACAGCACGAGCCCAAGAGCCCACCTATCCACCTTGCTAACCACCGTGTCCAAAATAACTTCTTTTTTTGTGGTGGCGGATAAGTTACCACAGTTTTAAAGTAGCAACCATGACTAAAGTAGCCTAACCATAGAAATGTATAGGCTATGCATATATGTACATATCTATGAGCCTAACTATGGTATTTTTGTGTAAACTGTTACCATGGTAAATTTATAGAATTTGTCTGACTCGCTCCCATATCGCTTTTGCGCTATTTTCAAAAGACAGAATGTGTCAATGAAAAATTGGCTATAATCGTTAAATGTGTTATATTAAATATTTATCTGAATTGTAAGAGTGAGAGCTAAAGACAATTTTTTGTAGCTACTTTTTCTTGTTTCTTCCCTTCAGAAAGGACTTCGGATCTGCGTTTTCTGATTTAACCCATTATGTACTTATAATGCAAACATAATAATACATTAGCCGTGGTCTTCCAGTATATGATGCTCACAGAAGGCTCATTTTTTTTAAACGGTGAACATACGTATATGGTAGAGTTGTATAAAAAGCAGGAAAATCTTTCTTAGACACATATGCATAGCTATTCAGATTTTTGAATTCAAGAGGTTAGTTGTTAGTTTAGACCTAAAAGTGTCTAATCTAAAAAGGTTTCTCTGTATATTTCCTCACCTGGTCTCAGAACATACTACCCATTATGCCCCGTACATTAATGCTGTGCCCATCTCAGTCTCATTCAACACATAATCAGAACACCTGAAACATAACTTAGTAACTCAAAATAGTTCACCTTTGTTACTTTACAGAACGGCCAGAAATGTAAAGCTCAGTGAAGCTTTAAGCTTGCAAGGTATATAATTACCGTCACATGAAAAAAACATTTACTTAAACACTCTTACTGTAGCTACAACCTTACCAGATCACAAATGTACAGTTTTTTTCTCCTTTTTTTGTCTTTTGTTTGCTTGAAATGTTGTGTTTTATGTCTTCAAGCAGTGAAAGAAGAGTAATGATGTTCATCTGGTGCTGGTGAGTCAAGGGTCTGTGAGGTCTCTGTTTCAGGGCCAAAGTGAGAGAAGAATCTAATATACAGAACACATGTTGCACAAACAACCAGATGAAAACAAGAGTATGCATGTATTTACTCAATGTGTGTCCACAAGAGCCTGTGTTTACGCAGTGCATGCACGTCTTTGTGTCCTCAATTTCCGATCAAAGCTTTTCCTGTTACAATTCAAAGGGATTTTTGGGATTTTAGGACCTCTTGAGTTTGTGTTAGTATTTAGATGAATTGGATGGAGTGTGGGTTTCTGGATAAACATCAGGAGTAATAGATGCTGGCGGGAGTGGGATTGGGGTCATGGGGGCACTAGATTGAGTCTTCAGACTGGAGATGAGGGCAATAGAGTATATAGAGACTGATAACAGGCAGTGGAGTGTCGTCACAGGGGTAATAAGAAGCAGAACAGGTGATAAACAGTCATTGAATTAGATGCTGTATGAGAAGCTGTCCACCTCCAGTGGTTTTTGCTCTATCTTTCTGTCTCTCAGTCTCTTTTTCACTCCGTCTCTCATCCCTCGCTACTCTCCCGCGCTCCGCGGCGCTCTGGGGGCAGGTCTCCCATCATGCGTTCTGCGATTTCGCCCTTTCCTCACTTCCTTCAGGTGCTTCCACTTTTTAGAGTGCAGCGGGTCGTGAACCGGTGCCTCATTGGCTGTATCTGGAGTGCTCTTCCCTGAAAGACTGTGCTTGCGTGACCAAACTTGCTCGCAGATCTGGTCGACCGTGTTTAAGTTTGGGTGATCCACCAACTGCATGAAGTCCCTGTACCACAGCTTTTGATTGGTAGACTGCCCGTGATTGGCGTGGGAGTGGGCGGGGCTGCGAGGGATAGGAGCTGAAGGGGCGGAGCCAGCCAAAGGCAAAATCTCCAACGTGATCACGAGGATGGTCTGGGTGAATCCGTGTTCCATTGCGTGACACTGATACACACCGCTGTCTCTACGCACGGCTCGCCTTAGCAACAGGCCTCGCTCAGTCTGCAAAACACGGTCATCTAAACGAACCTGTAATTACACACACACACACACACACACACAATAAATGCATCAAGTATCAGTTATAACCGCACTGATAGGAGAGAGAGAATGAAAGTCATTAATTCAAACAAAGACACACGTTTATCATCTCTTATCAATGCTGTCTATATCTGTCTTTCTCATAATAACCCCACATACAGTATCTGCCCCAGCCTGCAGTAGCCCCTCACTGCAGAACAAAGATCCAGGGGGCGGGGTTGGATCCACATCTAGGAGGTGGAGATGGAAGGTTTAGGGGTGTAGATGGGTGGATTTAGGGATCAGGGGGTGGAGACGGGTAGGTTTAGGTATATATAAGGTGGGAGGAGTTGGATCTGGATTCAACCTCGCCCCCTGGATCTGCAGTGAGGACCATCTCCCAGCCTGCCTCGCTCCTCTCTCTCACCTCCTCCCGTGAGTTTTCCGGGTGCCTCTGATAGGTCCATGTAATCTGGGCCTGTAATGATTTCGGGTTGCATTCCAGGAAGGAGCTGCTTCCATCCACAGCATACAGCCTCTTCTCCAGAACACGCTGCTTCTGATGGTCTGCAAAACATTGCAATGTATAAGAAATTTAGATAAGGCATTAGACAATCTGGTTACTCATATTAGACTGAAGACTGAAATGTATTAACTTCATAGACTCAATAATGTGTATAATGCACTGATATAAAAATTCTGGTCAATAGCAATAAGACAATAATTATTTTAATGTTATATTGGCAATATTAAAGGTGCATACAAATTTTCTGTAGAATACACCATAAAATCGTTTTAAATGCTTCAAGTGAATTTATACAACAAAATATTATATGTACAGTGTGACCAACCTTGTAATTTTTGGGTGTTTTTGCATTTGAAGCTGACTTTAATAAAGTCTGGGTTGTTTTTTCTTTTACTTTTTTGGATGAGATGATATCATACAACCCTATGTTGGCTTTTGCATTTAGCTTTTTGTCAGGATTCTCTGATACATAGAAACTTCAAAATAACAGCATTTAAGTATGTCACTTTTGATCAATTTAATGTCTTTTCTGATTTTTTCAAATCTGGCCCAGACTTTTGAATTGTAGTGGATTTTATCTCTGATACTCGTGAGCTGATTTGTGACCCACCAGTTAAGAATCACCTCTTAAATTCACATTGTGACTGAACAACTGTGCAGTAGTGAGAACAGAGAAATGGCTCTTCCAAGAGGCTGACAGAGGTACTGCAGTATTACCTCCTGAGCAGAGTGCATTAGGATCCCCATTCCTCACATCCTGACGCCGGAACCTCCTACACACATGAATACACATACACACAAACATATTAAAAAGTCTTAGCATGACATACTTCTTCAGGTTTGAGTGTGAAATCATTTCCCAGGTTTACTATGTGGTCACAGAATTTTAGACTCCACTGTAAATGTGTATGAATAAAGCCATGTAATGGCAAGTATGACTGAAGCTGTACCGTTTTGTGTTTGGCAGGTAGCGTGTGCAGGTGTGTCCGTCCCAGGCACAGTATGGATCTCTAGCCAGGCAGCACTCGGCACAAGCTTTACCGTACATACTGCAGCGGTGCAGAGGCACCTGGACAACACCTGTGTCTGAGCCAACATACAGCTGTTGCTGTAGAGAGAGAGAGATAGAAAATAATCACGTGATTCACTAATACGCTGCTTTCATGTGTTTCTGTAATACTGTTTAAAAATAACAGATGTATATTTTTAAACAAAGACACATTCTCACCCGTTTAGAGGAAATCTGCATACTGATAATAGATGAAGAATCCTGCAACAAGAACACAAGAGCTGGTTTAACTGATGTTTAATTTGAATTTTATGCTATTTTCTTTAAATGTAAAGTGAATCATTATTGCTACAGACTAACTTAAAAAATGAAACTTTCAACAACAAAAAAACGCAATTTTATGGAAACACAAACACACACTCCTCTCACCTTAAAGACCTGAAGCTCCTCTAGCAGAAGCTCTGTGTTACTCCAGCTTCCCTTGGGCACAGAGATCACCTTCAGCACAGAGCCGATATCTGCAGAGAGACACAGAGATGCTTTAACCAGAGCCACAACCAGCAAAGACAGTTTAGTCTCGAGAGTTTCTATATAGTCGTCAATATTCTACCTGTGCCGATGAACATTACATCGTAGTGTGCATCAGCTGCGCTGACCCGGTCTACAGTAATCTGAGTGAAGGTGTATGGTATTCCAGTGCGCAGGAACAGTTTCAGCACAGAGCCGATATCTGCAGAGAGACACAGAGATGCTTTAACCAGAGCCACAACCAGCAAAGACAGTTTAGTCTCGAGAGTTTCGCCAATACTCAGTCAATATTCTACCTGTGCCGATGAACATTACATCGTAGTGTGCATCAGCTGCGCTGACCCGGTCTACAGTAATCTGAGTGAAGGTGTATGGTATTCCAGTGCGCAGGAACAGCGGCCGGCCTCCCAGTGGAGTGACTGGATTAAACATTAATGGATGGTGCCTTGCAAACTGGATTACGTTATCAGGGAAACCTTTAGTGGACTCAAAACTCCCGAAGGTTTTACTGGGACACTGAGGAAGAGAGAAAGAGATATCTGTAGAATCCAGAGACACAATCCGTCTACACAGGTCAGCAAGTCCAGACCTATAAACAGTTAATGACTAATCTTCATCTACTTTTGCTTTTCTAACATTAACACAAACAAATTTATATTCCCACACACTTGTTTTGAAATGGCATTGATGCTATTTATTTACACTACAGTTCATTAAGAAAAATGTATCATGGATTCAACAACAACAACAACAAAATTATAATAGTTTATAATGTGAGATATAAGGAAACTGTCCTTACCATGCCTGGCCGTGGATACGGCACTTTACCCTGGAATGGAACCCATTGATAATTGGGTCCCTCTTTATGGGCAAAAGGTCCTAAAAATGCCCGGCGAATGTCATTCATGGTGTAGAGACACACTGCAGAACCTTGAAATACGCTGCTGTAAGACACAAACACACGTTACAGTACAGGGAGATAAAATAGTCACACAAATGCTGAGTTCAAGTATTTTGGCCTATCTTTTATTATTGAAATTCTCAATTTACCTGGGAACTGTTTTAATTGAAATGAAAATTCTGCCATCATGCCTTTTTATATGACTTACTTTCTTCTGTGGAACAAAAAAGGAGCTATTTTGAAGAATTGCTTTTGTTCATATGAAAGTCACTAGGGTCCAAAACAACACTGGACCCCAATGACTTTGGAGAAAGTTCAATGAAGGAAAAAAAAAACATTTGGCCAAATATTACATTTTGTGTTCTACAAAAGAAATATAGTTATATAGGTTTGGAACGACATGAGGATTAATAAACAATTACAGAATTTAACTTTTTGGGGTGAGCTAAGCCTTTAAACCACATCCTTTGATGAACTCTGACCTTGAGGTGGTAAAGACGGTGTAGATCAGCGGGTTCTTTCGGTCACGGGTCTGCAGCAGGAACACATCCCCTAAAGGTCCGGACAAAGGTCAGACAGCAATGAAATGCAGTTGTCAGTTAAAACAGCATAATTTAAGCCTAGTGTCTGTGAGAGAGAGTTCTTACTAAGTTCATCAAAATGTGTTTCAGTGCCATCGTTGCCTGGTACAGAACACACAAGACGAGCCTTTAGAAATGTCGTCCACTTATTTACTAGGCTGCGCTGTCCTCCCATATCGTTCTGTCAAAATTTTTTTTTAATTTAAGCCAAAATGATAAACAGCAGTCAACGGCCATTAGGCATAAACACATATAAAACAGCACTGATAAATCCTGCTCCTAACCCTGCACAGCTGACCAATCCGGGAATATGTAACCTTCCCAAATCCCTGAGCTTCTACAGCAGTTTCTCTGAAGAAGAAGAATACTTTATCATCATCAGGATTCTCACTCTCTGGAACACCAACTGCCGCTATAAACTTGGGCTCTGAAAAACAGCATTATCATAGGGCTCATTGTTATTAAACAAAAAACAAAAAAAAATCATCATTTGCTTATCCTTTCTGAAATAATTTCTAGTTTTGTTTTTTTCTGCATGTTGGTTAAACCACATGATGTTAATTTGGCTAAACATTTATAATATTGCGAATAATAATAGAAGATTAAGATAAACAATTTAATGCTTTCTTTTCAAGAATTTCGTTCTTTTAATGAGTTTTTTTTCTTTGTCATGATATCAGGACTAGTTGTATCACCCTGATTTTTAAGATGCTCTCTCATACATATACGCACCATTGAGCCAGCGAGAATCATGCTGTTCTGTTCGTATGGAGGGCCTTCGTCCCATGCTGCGAAAGATTGTAAAGTCCCGCCCCATTAAATCAGTGGCCACGCCTGCATAAAGCTCATCACCTATATGATGATGTAGAAATGGCTACTGTTTAGACATGATATAACAGCATCTAAACGTAAGACAGAAAGCTGAACAGTGGCAGCTAACCAATTAGAACAGATGCTGATGTGTGGCGTGGGTCATACGGACTCTTTCCTTTTCCATCTTCTACCATAGAGGGGTCGATTTTAAACACATGATCCTATAGAGACAAAGGAAAATAAAGCAGTGCATCTGGTCAACTGAAAGTCAAACTGGGACTGTATACCACACACACACACACGTCCAAATGCTCACACACTTACCTCTATTTTCTGTCCCACCTCCACATAAGCACAGGTGGGGTGGAAAGCCCCTGTCCCACAGGCGTACAAGTGAGTCCGATTGTAGTGATGTAGCACTTTCACATAGTTTACGCAGTCCATCTGCAACACATACACATGCACACATCAGTTTTATAAAGGACATATTTGACATACTTTCACCAGTTCATCTGTCAGACAGGGAAACTGTCAACATCTAGATTGACTATTAGTAGCTCAGAGCCAAAGGCAGACACAAAAATATACACATATTTTTATATTCAGGGACCGCGTATGGGGCAGATCAGAAATGAAACGTCATTGTTTTACGTATATCCTTGACGACAGTCTGACAGTCAGCTCTGACCTTTCCCTGCTCGCTGTGATCCCGGAACTCTCTGTAATCTCTTGCTCTGTCTCTTTCACACATAAAAACAAAGACACGTTGACTGTTCAACTGTCACTCATGGACACATATAATCTCTGTTTCTCATTTCCTTTGTGAATGCGCACGCTGGAGCATGCCAAATTTCCCAGAGTGCCTGGAATCACTACGATAACATGAGGGAGCGGGAGGACCAGAGAAAAGACGAGATGAAACAAGACTAAAAGGCCAAAGACGAGACCAGAGAAGACTTAAGTCAAGAAGAGACAACCATAGACAAGATGACCAAAGACAACAAGAGAAAAGACTAGACGAGATGACTAGAGAAACAAGAAAAGAATACCAAAGTGAGACAAGAAGAAGAGAGGAGAAGAGACGACTTGAGACAAGAAGAGAAAATATAACCAGAGAAGATTTGAGACAAGATGAGACAAGGAAAGACAGCAACAAAGAAGAGATTAGACGAGAGAACTAGTGAAGAGACAAGACGAGATGAAAGAAGAAGAGAAGGCTGATGACAAAATCAGTGAAGATCATGAAGAGACCACCAGAGACAAGATGACCAAAGACAACAAGAAAAGAGACTAGAGGAGATGACTAGAGAAGAGGAGTGACAAGACAAAACAAGAAGACACGAGAAGAGAATAGATGAGAGATGAGATTACTAGAGAAGAAGACTCAAGACAAGAGAGAAGAGAAGAGAAGAGAAGAGAAGAGAAGAGAAGAGAAGAGAAGAGAAGAGAAGAGAAGAGAAGAGAAGAGAAGAGGGTCTCCTCTCAGGGTCTCTTCAGTTTCAGTAGCAGATTTTCTTGCTGCTTGGACTGTAATTATGCCTCACTCCATCTTCTCTCACTGACTAACAGTGGGCTTTCAGCAGCAGAATGAACCCTGAACTGAACATCTGTGCTCAAGGAACACACACACACACACACGTCTGGTTTGCTATCCTTGTGGGGACTCTCCATAGGCGTAATGGTTTTTATACTCTACAGACCGTATATTCTATTGCCCTACACCTAAACCTACCCCTCACAGGAAACTTTGTGCATTTTTAGATTTTCAAAAAACTTCATTCTGTGTGATTTATTAGCTTGTTTACCCGTGGGGACCTCAATTTAGGTCCCCCACTGTGACTGTGGTCCCCATGAGTCTGTGTGTATTCAGGTTTAAGTCCCCACCAGAATAGAAACACAGGTACACACACACACACACACACACACACACACACAGAACTTCAAATATTAGACACTTCTCCTTTGGGTTCCAGGGGACAGTGTGACACTGTAATTCACACAATGTATCTATAATAAGACCAAACAGTACAGACAGAAATGTAAGTAAAATTGGCAGTTTTACTTAAATTTCTGTCTATGCTGTTTGTTATTGAAAGCAATATATTTATAATCTGAATTTCATCCAACATATTGGATTTTACTCATCGTTGCAATGCATTTATGGAATATGGCAAAAACAAGGTATCTAAGCAGGCAGCATAATCATGCTAGATTAAAAGGTGTGTGTGTGTTGTGTGTGTTTTGTGTAACCTCTTCACTACCTTTACAGAAAGATGTGATTGACATGTGCCCTCCTGCCATGCTTAAACCCTGCACACAAACTCACACAGACACACACATACAGGGCTTGTGGAGAACAAAGGCCTCTCTTTGAGCTTAACACACCCTGTGAAGAGTGTGTGTGTTGTACGGTGGGGGTGGCGGGATAGAATCATCGAAGACCAATTAAGTTGCTGACAAACTGTGTTTATACAGAAAGGGGTCTCTCCCTTTCTCTCTACCTCTCGTATACACACACACTAGGGCTTCTGTTTCGAGAGCTTTACAGCCCTCAATAAGGGAAGGACATGTTAGGGAGTGTGTGTGAGCATGTGTGTGTGTGTGCTGATGGGCTCTTTGAAGTGAGCCCACGAGACAAAGAAAAAAGAAAGAAAGATAGACTGAGAGGAAAAAAGAGACAGAGCACACAACAAAAGAAAAAGAGCTTTAAAATGAACAATGTCTCTCAGGAGGAATAAGCCATATATGTGTGAGTGAATTTTCTGCTGAGACGCGTGCGGTGAACTTTCAACTTTGACCTTTCATGAGCCTGATCATTGGATCCCTGTGGATCCTATTGGAATTAAAATGAATATGTTGATAAGGGGAATTCAGTCAGAAATGATTTTATTGGAATTGAACTATTCACAAATAATCCTCCCCTCCAGTTAGCTGTTGACTTGAGAACTACTAGGGGATCATTGAGTCAGTTCACTGAGTTGAACCTGAGAATCAAATTGTATGAATCATGTTGATCCTGTTAATCTATTTTACAAATCTGACCAAGTGATTCGATCACGATTCGGACTGATCTGAACTCAATGACTACTTGCAGAGCTAACTTAAACTGCAATCAGTTCATTATATGAAGATGTTGTATGGCTTCAGAAGACTTGTAATATAAAGCACAAGTAATATGGACTACTTTTTTGATACTTTTATGATGTTTCTTGTCCTCCCCCCCCCCCCCCCCCCCCCCCCCCCATTATGGAGCTTAACAGATGTGGGCACTATGAGCTGTGGTTGTATGCCAGAGACTGAAACACAGGGACTGAGAAAGACGTTGGACATAAAGACACTGAAAGACAGAGACCGAGATGCAGAGAAGTGAGTAAATTGAAAGCAATACTGAGTGAGAAATCAGGAGTTTAGACTGAGAGACTGAACAAAGGAGAGACAGCATGAGAAAGTGAAAGGTCAGTGGGAGAATCACAGGGAAAATCTAAAGTCTTTATTCATGGAGGTCTGGTTCTGTCCCTGCCGTCCTGTACACACCTACATGTAATGAGGGTCAACTCACAGGTCAGCGCACTGAACAAAGTCTGTGTTTGTGTCAGTTCTCATTGTCAGCTGACCTCAGTCAGTTACCCACCGCAGAATGAAGCCCAACACACATTTTGAAGTAACACAACTTTACACAGCCTTTACAAAAAAGAGAGCATTCAGACAGACACAGTGTCCAAAACATCCCACACATATACGCTTAACACCCCAGATAAAATACATACACACTAAAAACATGAATTATGACCTTTTCACAAACATGTTCAACATGTTACAACACGTGCATGTTTTTGGACATATTTCCATGATAATACATGTCATTTTTTAAATGTCTCTTATGCTCACCAAGGCTGCATTCATGTGATCAAACAATACAGTACAACAGGAATATTGTGAAATATTATTACAATTTAAAAGAACTGTTTTCTATTTTAATCAATTTTAAAATGTAATTTATTCCTGAGATGGCAAAGCTGAATATTCAGCAGCAATTACTCCAGGCTTCAGTGTCACTTGATCCTTCAGAAATCATTCTAATATGCTGATTTGGTGGCCAAGAAATATTTCTTATTATTATCAACGTTGAAAACAGTTGTTATGCTTAATATATTTGTGAAAACCATGCTACACTTTTTTTCAGGATTATTTTATGAATAGAAAGCTCAAAACAACAGCATTTATTTGAAATTGAAAACTTTTGTAATATTATAAATGTCTTTACTGTCACTTTTAATCAATTTAAAGCATCCTTGCTGAATAAAAATATTCTTAATTCTAATTCTATATTTTCTATAATTCTTAATTATACATTTGTTCTATTCTAAATCACTCTATGCCAGGAATTTTTAACCTTTATAGACCTAGACTCTTAACCAACCTTTGGACCCTGAATAAATATAAAAACATAAGATTTTAATCAGTAACACCTTATTATAACGTTCATCAAAAAACTAACTAAAACTATTATTACAATATATAATGCTTATCAGATAAGCAAATGTTCACCAATATTATGAAATGTTTAAAAGCGCATTCTATATGTTTTGTAAATCTTCTTTGTGGGTTCCCTGAATTATTTTCATGGACACCACAGACCCCTGATTGAAAACCTTGGCTCTACACTGATTTATGTCTGTTAATGTTGGAGCCGTTTGGAAGAGATGTTTGTGATAGCAGTGCTAATTGCTTAAGTGTATGTGTTTGTGTGTAAACAGCTCATATGAGAGATGGTACTGATAGATGTGTAAACTGGGCGTGTTGGTGACCGCAAGATCTGATTATTGCAGACACTTACATTGATGTCTTTCCCAGCCCAGTTGCACTCTTCTCTCCAATCAACAGGCGCTGGCCAGTAGATCTGAGAGAGAGAGAGAGAGAGTCCAGAAGTGAGGAAGAGTTTTGGCTAAAGGTTAGGACCTTTGCAGGGTTAGACGTGGTTCAGTAGCTTGAGGGACATTCTCGCTGAACCCCATCAGAGACACAGTTAAAACATGTCCAGGGGCGATGCACAAATGCACACACATCCCGGGCATATTCTCCCTTAACCACACCTGTGAGTGCTTGCGTGAGCCTGAAGCCAGCACACAGTGACCGACAACTCTCACTCATCATTCCTTCTTTTTCCTTCCTAAAGAAATAAAAATCCATCATTCTGTCATCAGCATGTTGGTTCGGACTACCATAAATCAACTGGCATGACTTTAAAGGCTGATTTGAATAAATAAATGCTAAAGCTTCCTGACTGGATCTCTATAGCATAAATGCACACACAATCTAATCACATGTGGGGGGCACAAAATGCAAGTGTAAACAGGCTATAAAAAATCCAATCACTTCATTGTAATCACTTAATTTGTTAAAACCAGGTATAAACACTGGACTGCTTCATTAAAATAAATGTATGCACAGGAGTTAAATAAGCAAACATTTTTGAGAATAAAAATACGAATATTTTCTTCTCATTCCAATTTAAGAATAAAGCTAAGTATATTTTGTATTCCAGAAAAGGCACAAAAAAGAAGAAGAAAATAAGAAATTGAAATGTAACAATTATTATTATTATTATGTTATAATTATGTTATTATATACATAATTAGATTGTAGGGTGTTTGAAATGAGTAGAACCTAGTATTCAATCAGTCATTTTATTCTTCAAATATTTGTGATCACCTGAAGAACTTTTCAAGAATCGCATTTAATACAATTCTTACAAACTTAATTTTTCTTCTGAGGAATATTTTTGTGAATCTGTCCCCAGGTGCTTATGCTGTATATCAGTGAGTTATGATTGACAGGGTTACACCTTTGTTTAAAACTTAATCAACTGATGAGAGAGAGACAGTACAGAAGGGAAGACTGTTTCCTATCACACTTACATTATGGATGAAGTAAGGGGTAAGGAGTGTGCTGTACCTTCTGTTCCTGTTTGCTGATGTTGTCGAGACTGAGAGATAACAGAAAGTTACGAGCTCCAACAAATAGCCGCCCCCTCTCCTCATCTAAAAGGAGAGCTCCAAAAGAACACGAATGCTCCAAGTCAAACCGCTTAATGCCGTTAAACTGCTGGAGATCTGGAAAAAAACATGAAACCACAAAGAGTTAAACACAGAAACCTTAACACGTATGCAGATACAACTATATATATATATATATATATATATATATGTGATACAAGCCAGTTTCATCACCTTTATAAGACAGCTTCATCCGGGGTGAGGAAGATGAAATTCCACTGGATGAAGCACTGACGCCAATAAGCCCAAGCAGGACCAGCGAGCTGCACATCATCATCATCATAGTCATCATCATCTGAGGAAGACCAGAACTTCTTATCAGTTATAAACCGCAGACCGCTGCCACACAGATTCTTGAATGGGATGCTGGTTGTCGTGGCAGCTGTTGCCGTGACGTCCTGCTTGTTGTTACAGTGATGCTGTGGATGTGGAGTTTCCGCTCTACACTGAACACTGGACACCAGAACAACAACAAAAAAAGTGTTAGGAGTTTTCATCTTCTTTTCATAGCCTCTAGTCAGTCCTTGCTGACGCCTTGCTCACCCACTCCTACAACACACCAGTCCGATAATAGCCATGCTATTTCAGATATGCAGGCACACACACTCACATGCTTTATTTCAGTAGCAGATGGTCTAAATCTACTGTCCTGTCTAAGATGAGAAAGGAGAAATCTGATCTCATATTACACACACACATACATATATACGCTCACTCATACAGAACTGGATGTCAAAGCAATCGGTCTTGAGCCTTTCATTTGGTCTTTTTATGGTTCTGGTCCAGGTTCACTGCATGCCCAAACTGAAAGCCAAGATCCACTCGGTCAGAACACCATCCAGCTCTCATTTCAGACCAACAACATCTAATTTCTGCTGTGTGTATATGCTTGCTTACTGCACTAGGTCATATTCAGCATGTGGAGGGTAATGAAATGATAAATTAGAGGAGAGAACAGGAAAGGAGTTGATTCTATACTGTATCATTTTAAAACATATCATTCAGACTTCTATTGAAATAAACTGCTGAGATCCTCAAGCTAAAACAGGAACCTCTTCGTCAAAACAGATAACTGAACACACTTTGATGTATTTACACACTTTTGGTTTTAATATTCTCACTTTATCTCATGAGTGTAAGACTGTCTGAGTGTGTGTGTGTGTGTGTGTGTATGTGCATGAGTTCAGTATGTCAGACACTTTAAGAGGAATCTGTATAGTTATTTTATAGTTCTTTTTCTATTCAGCCATCCAACCCCTTCTGCCAAAATGAAACCGAGCATCTTTCAGTTTCTTTCTCCACGTCTTTCTGATTTTTAGGTGCTAGTAAAAGACAGACATTGCTGTATTAATGTACGTATTGTTAGGATCATATTTTTACAAATCAAATTTTTATTTTTACACAGGATTAAGGATCAATATCAGTATGCATTTAAATTTTGAATAGTTTCATTTGTGTAACATCATTTTGTTTTGTGGGCCATATGTAAACATATTATGTGAAATAGCTTTTTCAGGGAAGTACTAAAAAATATATATGCAAACGTATAATTACAACTGCACAAGTGTGTAAGTTTCCTTGGCCATACTAAAATGTCCCCAGAACAAAATGTTGGTTATTTTAAAACAATAGAAATCTATTAGATATTTAAGTAAATGTGTGTGATTTCTTTGTCCTACATTGTGGGGACAAGCCAACCGTCCTCACAATGAAAATGGCCTAAAACATCATGTGTCAATGAAAATGGAAACATGCAGAAAGGTTTGTGTTAGGCTTAAGTTTAGAGTTAGACAACAGAAAATATCATTAAGCTTGGTACCAAATAAGTTCAAGGAAAGTCCCATTATGTCAAAACAATGTTGAGAAATGAAGAGAAAGAGAATGATAAGTGTTATAAGAGGAAGATAAAACAGAGAGGGATACATTTCAATTTTTTAACATTTGTTACATCTCCTAAAGCCCTTTAGCAACACAAACACCAATACTTTACATACCCATTTGCTGCAGTGTTGAATTTTAATAAGTGTTAGTGAGCATCACCAGTAAGATGAGAGGAGACCTACTGACTCCACTGAATATAGATTTTACCCACACACACACTTGCACAGTTTTACTGCACTGCTAAAATGTACAGAATCCTGAAAAACTAGACTATCCTCCAGCGTGTTGATTTTTGTATTTATTTTAAACAGAGTAAGAAATATAGCAGCATCCTAAACCAAATATAAAAGTGCTTTGTTCTTTCTTCCTCTCTTTCTGTTTCTATTGCTGTGAATAATGGAACTATTCACACAGGCAGACAGCAGAAGTCTCATAATAAAACACACTCACACACACACACACCCACACACACACACACACACAGTCCCTCTGTCTGAAGCGCTGTCACACTGATTAGCTGTGCTAATTTACTATAAACACAGTTAATATGAGCTACTGCAGGACCGTGTGTGTGTGAGAGAGACACACACATTCAAGTACATCCAGCAAGGTTCACACCCCCCATCCTGGGAGATTTACTGTATACAAGAGTAGAGCAGAAAAGTGCATCCCAGCGCCCTTCACATCTCTTTAAGCAAAGAGGCTGTGCCAACGCAGCAAATCGTACATCATCATTACAGCCAAGGCTGGAGCAGGACATGCTCACACACACATACACACACAGATGTATCCTCTTCCACAGGAACCAGGCCTTAAAACCAGACTAAATGCTGCTAAGTCCAAAATAAACCAACAATAATTAACCTTAAGAACACAATGACAACACCAGACAAAACAAGCCAAACGAGAGAGAGAGTGAAAGAAAGAAAGAAGAAAGAAGGAGGTAACTGTGTCATAAGCCTCTCGGTTCATGATGCTCGGTGCGAGCGAGATCCTGAAGAGAGAGAGAACGAGTGAGAGAGAGTGAAAGAGAAGAGGAGAAAGGAGTCGATTGTTCTGCTGAGCGGCTCCTCTGGACTGAGACCAACTGTCAGAACCTCCAGTAAGGGAGTGAAAGAGAAAAGAAAGATTGAAACGCGTGAGGAAAGGCCTTTGCTCACATGCAGGGGGAAATAAAGGGATAGTTCACACAAAAAACGAATTCTACCATCAATATTTCACCCTCATGCTGTTCAAATCTGTACGACCTCATGAGAGTTCATGAGAAAAGTAGAGATCTCGGATTTATATATTGATCTTCTGAATCAGATCTTTTCACTGAATCAGATGATTCTGTCTACAAAACCAGTCTACATGGCTGATTCGTTCAGATTAATTTGTGAATTAATGACTTTCAATGACTTTTAATGATTTCTGGTCTGTTCTCTCATTAAATTATTGTATGGCCTCAGAGGACTTGGAATATAGTGAACAAGCTGTATGAACTACTTTCATGATACTTATATGGTGCTTCTAAGTCCTTAGCTTGAAAGCTCCAGTATTGCAGAGTAATTGCTTGGAAAAAAGTGTAAAGTAAAACATTACTCAAAATTTCAGCTTTTGGGTTTTGAGAAAGAAAGAAAGCCATGCGGTTTGTAATGACAGTGTGAGTAAACAATGACAGACTTTTTGTGTTCGGGTGAATTATCCCTTTAAGAAACTGCAGGTAACCAAAAGTTGTTCTTCTTTAGGAGAGACAGAAGAGAAATGTCATTCTTTGTTAAGCGTTTTCGGTCTTTGTACTGAAAAGAAACAACCCACCTTGCTGACTTTTCTTCTGTGTTTCAGGCTTTATAGGTCCAACAAGGGCACGCTGGCACAATAACATGAGTTACTCTCCCCTCTGTGGTCTTTCACTGTGGCTCTCTCTCTCTCAGGCACATAGATGCGAACATAAAACTGCTCCAAACTCTCTTGCTTTAGATCAACCACTACTCTCCGAGATAAAACTTTGTATACACACAACAAAGACAGACACAAATCCCTTCAAAGAATGAATTTGGTGGCTCTTAGCCCTAACAGAAGTGAAACGGCAAGTTTCAGCATGTGTGTGTGTGTGTGTGTGTGACTGCAGTGATCTCCCAGGTCAGCCACAAGCCCTCAGTCCATTTAGAATAATACACACAAGTACAAAGCTCTCTCACACAGGCACTCTGTCAGAATGATAGATAGAATGAACTTTAAATTAGACAAAAAAAAGAGTAAAGTAAGATACAGAAAGAGAGTTTAGTAGAGAAAGGGGTTAAAAATGTATTGTACCAGGTCTTCTTCATGCTGAATGTGAGACTAGCATGCATCACTATTAGTATTGGTCACACTTAGGATTAGTTAGATTTGAACAAACCAGTAACCATTAGCATTACACTTCGGTATGTAACTTTGCCTTAGAAACCACCTAGAAAAGCTCTTGCACCCATGTAGAACACCTTAGCAACTGCACAGAATCACTCTAATGCCCTACTGAGAGAAGCTTGGCAACTGCATAACACTCCAAACACTTTAGTAACTGCATAGCAACACCCTGGCAGCCTCCCAAAACACTCAAGATACTATCTAAAAGAAAACTTGAGAAAACTAAAAGAAACTTGCATGCAATTGCATAAAAACCATCCACAACACTCTAGCAACCACTTAGAAATGCCGTTGCATTGCAAGCAACCCACTACAAACCCACTCACAACACTTTAGTAACTACATAGCAACACCCTGACAACCATCCAACCCCCCCCTTTTTTTTTATAGAAAATGTCAACAAATCTATTTAGGATCACTATTATAAACCTTATACAGAGCTTCACTATTCAAAGGATAATTGTAATGTTTTGTATGATACCATAATACCAATGCCAAACACACACACACACAAAATAATAATTAAAAAAAGTGTGTGTGTGTGTGTGTGTGTGTGTGTGTGTGTGTTTGGCAAGGATCCATGGTTGCGGGGCTCTGTCCAAACACTTCTGAAGGGTTGAGGACTTAAAGAACAAAAAAGAGGTATTCTCTCTTTTTCTCTCTCTGTGTCCCAGATAATAGCGCTCCTTAACCCCAGTCTGGTTTTCTGATTACCATGGTAACACTGGTTATTTGATGTGTGTGTTGCTGTATAATCTTTCAAGTCTATTAAACCCTTTAAACCCCTCGAGTTCAAGAGGTACTCTGATAATGTACTCAAAGACAGATGTGTGTGTTAGAATAGGTGTGGACACATACAATGTACTGTTAATGTGTTGTTTCTGGTGTAGAGTTGGTAGGATCAGCTGTGTAAAAGAGGCGATAGAGTGGTGTACTTTTACTGTGGTTTAATCATAAAGTACCCCTGTAAAACAACAGATGTCATTTCAATACGTTTGGCAATAAATGAAGGGTGTTTCTCTA